ATGGTTGTTGGTGCCAGACGGGTCGGTCTGAGTGTTTCACAATCTGCTCAGTTACTGGGATTTTCATGCACAACCATTTCTAGGGTTTACAAAGAATGGTGTGAAAAGGGAAAAACATCCAGTATGCGGCAGTCCTGTGGGCGAAAATGTCTTGTTGATGCTAGAGGTCAGAGGAGAATGGGCCGACTGATTCAAGCTGATAGAAGAGCAACTTTGACTGAAATAACCACTCGTTACAACCGAGGTATGCAGCAAAGCATTTGTGAAGCCACAACACGCACAACCTTGAGGCGGATGGGCTACAACAGCAGAAGACCCCACCGGGTACCACTCATCTCCACTACAAATAGGAAAAAGAGGCTACAATTTGCAAGAGCTCACCAAAATTGGACAGTTGAAGACTGGAAAAATGTTGCCTGGTCTGACGAGTCTCGATTTCTGTTGAGACATTCAGATGGTAGAGTCAGAATTTGGCGTAAACAGAATGAGAACATGGATCCATCGTGCCTTGTTACCACTGTGCAGGCTGGTGGTGGTGGTGTAATGGTGTGGGGGATGTTTTCTTGGCACACTTTAGGCCCCTTAGTGCCAATTGGGCATCGTTTAAATGCCACGGCCTACCTGAGCATTGTTTCTGACCATGTCCATCCCTTTATGGCCACCATGTACCCATCGTCTGATGGCTACTTCCAGCAGGATAATGCACCATGTCACAAATGTCGAATCATTTCAAATTGGTTTCTTGAACATGACAATGAGTTCACTGTACTAAAATGGCCCCCACAGTCACCAGATCTCAACCCAATAGAGCATCTTTGGGATGTGGTGGAACGGGAGCTTCGTGCCCTGGATGTGCATCCCACAAATCTCCTTCAACTGCAAGATGCTATCCTATCAATATGGGCCAACATTTCTAAAGAATGCTTTCAGCACCTTGTTGAATCAATGCCACGTAGAATTAAGGCAGTTCTGAAGGCGAAAGGGGGTCAAACACAGTATTAGTGTGGTCTTCCTAATAATCCTTTAGGTGAGTGTACATAACCATGGTAACATAATAATAAAATTAATAATAATAATAATAATAATAACAATGACTACATACATAACAACAATACAAAATGCCCCTTTCTTTATTTAGTGAAAATAACAATTTAAATGAACTTTGACCTCTTAACGAAGTCATTCCTCAGTATGTTAGTTCACCTTTGTCAAAGCTTCTAATTCCCAATGAGTTCATCTATCAGTGGCACACATTTGGAAATATTACAGTTAAATAACAGTTAACATTTGTCTAAACTTTGACCTTTGACCAAAACAATTCCTTAATAGGTGACATTACCATTATCATGGTGTTTTATTTAGGCTGTGTGTTAGTATGTTAAGGTATTTACTTTAGTTTCAGGCCTACAAACAGGTCTGGGCACAAATAAGAGGTAGGCTACTCTCCGGACAGACAATATAATAAAACAAGATAGCTTTCATGACAACAATATTTCACCTCTGTGTTTGACTTTGAAATGAAAACAAGAAGCAAAGAAATCAAACTGAAGCAGAAAGAGAGTCGGAGAGCTTCTTAAACACAAACAAAGATCAGTCAGGTCCAGGCTAAGTGCTCCTAAACTGATTTGGAGCTGTGGACGCTGAAAACTGCTTGAACAAGAGAAATGTAACACCTCTGTTGATGTTTCAACGTGATGCTGCTTTTCAATTCAATTCATTTCAAATTAGCTTTAGTGGCTTGAATGTGTAACAAAAATATTGCCAAAGCATCATACAAACTAAGTAAGAACAATCAACTGCTTTTCTCCTCACCTGCTTCTCTTCCTCTCATCAGATACTCACTACATAAACCGTCAGTTTCCTTTGTTCCCATGTCAGTGAGTCCTAGTTTCAATATTGTTGACTTGTCTTGTGTTTTTGAGCTTCTGTGACCTGAACCTGCCTTTCTGCATCAGTACCTGCCTGTAAACCTTTTTTCGTCAATAAATAACTAAAATCATCACGTCTTCCTCAACTGATTGCACATTCTCTTATTGCCACTCTGCCTGTGAAAATGTCTGTCTGCAAAAACACAAGAGAAAGAAACTGTCCCATGTCCCTAAATTAATGTCATCATTTCCAGTCAGTAACAGGAAATTAATGAATGCTGAAAAAAAAAAATAAGAGTGGAAAGATTTCACATTTTAGTTTGTTACTATCACTTCTGTTGCTGTACTTGTATCAAAGTAAGACACATCAATAAACTGTGTTATGTTACTAAACAAGTTTTTCAATTTGAAGATCTCTTTTTTTAATTATATGACACACATCCATTTCAGACGATGTGAATCATTCATATCCAGCAACTCACATGTATCCTTCATTTCCATAAACTAAATATCCCAAACATTAAATTACAAAGGGCAGTAAAAAAACAAAATTAAGCTAAAAAAAAAATCACAATTGTAGCTTCAGTCGCAGATGTTTAAAGGAGATCTATTATGCTTTTCCACATTTTATAACTTATCTACAATGTTATAATGTTGGATGTTCATGTTAAACATGGCCAAAGCTTCAAAAAATGAGGTTAAAGTATTTAAAAGAAATCCCTGTGAGCAAAGAGAGCTCAGATTTCCTGCTGTTCTGAATGCTGAATGTTTTGAACTGCTTTTTCTACCAATGGCTCCCTTCTACATAATCAGACAGGAGCATTTACAGCTTGTTTCACACAGAGGCTGAAATGGCGCCTACAAGAGTCAGTATAGGAACATAAAATATTTTTTTGAACTTTGAATCATGCAAAGCTGCCATACAGGAGTCACAGAACTACAATATAGGACTGGAAAAGCAGTATCATAGGTCTCCTTTAAGTTTAAATCTGGAGTCACAAAAAGACAGAAATTTGGGACTTTATTATTACTTTATTATTATTTATTATTAAAAAGCACAGCAACATTAGAAAAGAATGAAATAGCAGGTCAATTCATCTGAGGTCATCTACTCAATCCAACACAAGAAGTTATTTTAAGCATCGTTAATCGATTACTATAAGTAAACTGCTACTACTAAGATAGAAACATTACTTGTCCCTAAATACTAGCAGGACATAAGATTTCTATCAGTGTGCTGAGAACTGAAAATACATTTAGTATTGATGCTTATATTTTAAGTATGTGTGTAGGCATAGCATTTAACGATGTAGCAGATTGTGCCTTTACTGTAAAATATGTTTACTTCTCTTGCAAAGCTGAAGGATTCTTTTCCAAAAAGGTAAATTTTGCAGATTTCTCATGGAGCAGAGTTCACCCTCCTCTTCTGTCACTCACTTCTGTCCGGACAAATAACTACGTTCAAAAATAAAAAGAGCAAATGGAAAGGTGTGAAACCACTGGGATAAAAAAGTAAATGCTTGTAATATTTATCAGAACAATGACGCTTCCTTTAAAGGCCTGAAGTACAACATGCAGTTTCAGACAGACAGAGCCATTAGTTACCTAGATCAATAGTGAGGTGTCTTGACTTCCTGTAGAAGAACCAGAAGTACTTGATGAAGTGTCCAATTCTGAAGAGAAAAAAAAACTATTTAACAATTATAAAGTAAAGGACAAAGAAAGACATGAAGACACATTTATGTACACATACTTATACAGATGGACAGACGTACAGACCATCCCCTGCTCTGGGGTGACAGTCAGAAACTGAGTCCTCTTTCATAAATACTTTTTATTCTTTTGGTGCATAAAAGATGATGATTGAGATCATTTTTTTAATGATAGCAATAGTGTGATAATAATAATAATACCACAGATCCACGCTACAGCTCCAGAAGGAGAGAAACGAAAAAGTACAAAACTATAAGAGAGGGAAGAAGTCGAGTTGGTAACATGCATGAATGGGATAAGAATGCATAAAGATGGAAAACGAGAGGAGAGAGGAGCTTAGTGCATCATGGGACGTCTGTGAAAAAAGGCCTTCCTTGTAGTTACATTCAGTTACAGAACCATCAGATCGACATCTAGTGTAGTAATATTTGCCTAACGGTGTGTAGTCCAGTAATAAGAATTCAAAGGTTATTAAAGAGTGGTCCAGTGAAAGATGATTCAGATTCAGAGGAAAGACTATTAGATGGTCAATTTCAATTAATATTTACATCCGCAAAGATCCCAATGAGTAAAATATGTTTATGCTATTCATGTGTGGGGGTAGTCTACACAGGAGACTGTAATGTCCATGCTCTGTGGCTGTAATTACGAACAACTACGGCACTAAGATGTTATCTAACAAGATTCAACCACCACACTGTAATGTGTTCCTATGGAAGCATCATTCACTGGACTCAATCAATCTTGGCATGGAAATATGTGACTTGTCCGGAGAAAATAATTTGAACTAGACAGACAGACAGACCTGTTCCGGTAGTGTCAGATGAAGTCTTCGTGTCTACAAAAACAGAACAAAATAAATCAAGACAACAGTTCAACTACACACACTTGGGTGAAACCTTTGGGCCATAACTTTCTAAAATGTTTGTCTGTTTTATTTTAGTTAATTTGGGTATCATATTGAAACTCCCAATTCATTCAGATTAAGGCATTAGGTTTGAGTTCTTGTTAGTGTTTTCCCCTGTGCAAAGAGGAAAACTAGGTGTGTATGATTTCTCCAACAGGCCTGGACATTCTTGAATTTTGTTCATACGTATTTAAAAGATTTAAAAATATGAGAAGACTGAATGCCACATATTTTATATCACCTTTATATGCCCCATAAGACGTTTTATGTGATAAGAAGGGGTAACAGATAACTTCATAACATAAATAAGAACATTTAAATGTTTTTTTGGGATGTCATGAGCTTACACCACAAAAGCACCCAAAAATAAAGTTGTATTCAGCAAAAATAAATGACTGAACACAGAACAAATTGAATTTGTGTTTGCCATCTCCATCACCCTTGATTCCAGTCTTACCTTCGTTGGTTCTGATCTTTGATTTGTCCAGTTTGGTGACGATGTCGTTCTTCACACCTGCGAGCTGAAACACACATTCGTACTTCTCCCAGTCTTCAGTTGGAGGTTTCAGGTCAACACTCATCTGGAAGGATCCATCGTTGTTGGGGAGGATCTCTCCGTGGTCCACGTCCTCATGAAGCTCCTCTCCATCTTTCCTCCAGAACATCGTGGCTCTGTCAGGGTAGAAACCTGTAGCGTGGCAGCTGACTGGAGAGGAGGGAGTCTTCTGGAGGAGAGACACTGAGGGAAGCTCTGGAGAGAGAGAGAGAGAGAGAGAGATACTGACACTGACACGTCTCTGTCACGGTTAAGTTCAGGTTTCCAGTGGAAGAGTTTCAGACAGCAGATATATACAGTGTAGGGTTAGAAAGAGAGAGAGAGAAGGAAAACCACAAACGAAGAGAGAGACGTCTGTATCTACGCTTGTACGGTTCAAGTTCAAGTTTCCAGTGAAAGCATTTAAGCAGACTGTTCTTCAGCAGATTTTTTTTTCTTAGGGGAGAGAGGCAGAAAGAGAGACCAACAGCAAACATGATACAGATCAACAAAAATGTGTATTTGAATAATTGTACTGTTTTTAGCAACATTGTTGTGTCCATGAAACTACATCAGGTCATGTGATTCTACCTTTTCTCAGCAGAGAGCTCCTCCCATAGTCCACATACTTCTTCAACCACTCAGGGCAAATCTGGGTCAGGTAGTTTTTTCTCTGTGCTATCAAAGCTCTGTTATTATCCCACTTGTGTTTGGTGATGACAGCCTGTGGTGTTGGAGCGATCCATGTCTCTGTCTTCATGTCAAATGCTATGAAGTCTTCTCCATCATAACCATCTTGAAAAAAACCTTTAACCTCTCCAGTCTCATCGTCCCACTCACAGCCGTACATCCTCTGGTTAATGTGTGCACCTGAGAGAGACACACCAGTAAACAGAGTGAGATCACAGCTCATCTATCATCAGCTGATATCACATCTTCACCATAGAGACACACTGATCCACAGACACCAGAACAGAGGATCTACACCTCCTGCTGTTGGAGTATGTGTGTGTCATGTTATATCTCTGTTGGGACCTGAATACACACTAACTGATGGGGACTTGTGTCACTGTGCAGAAAAGAACTTGAGGTCCCCTCAGGTAGAGACTGATTATTGAGGGTTAAGACATGGTTTTAGGGTTCAGGTTGCACTTTAGTCAAGATTAGGCATGTAGTTGTGATATTTAAGGTTAGGATAAGGGGCAAGGGAATATTCCCTTATAATATAATGAAATGTCCCCACAGGATAGAGGAACAAATGTGTGTGTGTGTGTGTGTGTGTGTGTGTGTGTGTGTGTACAGGATGAAAATATAAACAACATTTTTTCAGTAGAAAGTAAAACAAACCTCCAGTTTGGTTGAAGCGCTGCTTTGCAATGCCAATGTTGGCTTTGAAGACCTGCTGTGCACCCTGAGAGCTCTGAGTCTCCCTCTCCCAGTACTGAGGATCATCTGCTGTGACTCTGCTCATCCAGTCCTGTTTGGGTTCTGCTCTCCTGGTGTTACTGTCATAGTGAAACATCTGAACTTCATCAACCAACCCAACAATCACAAACTCTGGGAAGTTTGGGACTCCAGAAGACGCAGTGTAGAAATACTTCAGAGAGTGAGTCGCTGTAAGAAAAAGTTCATGATTTCAGTTTTTATATCACAGTTTTATAAATCACTGAACACATAATCAAAAAGAACAACATTATAAAACCTCCTAATAATCTCTGTTTACTTAATTAATACAAAAGGGCTGCACCAGGTCCAGTGTTCTCTCCAGTTACAAAGGGGACATCCTTGGACCCAATCTGACTGACTGAACATGCATTTTTGCTGTTAAGATGAATAATTTGACTAAAGTTTGTTTTTGTGTCTTGATTGCAGAAAAAAAGTAAACTCAGACCACATCTGTTTCTTCTGCAGAGCCCACACAGCCAAGAGGTTCTCCTCTCATGCAGCAAACAGCACCAGCGTGGACAGTGTGGCCTATTTATGCTGTTGTTGATTCCTCTCCCTCAGTACCCCCTCAATAGGGCCCCAGCTACTCTTGAGTTTCACATCGTTCGTTTTTGGGCTGATCAAACTCTGGTTCGAGCCCGAACAAGTGGAGTCTGGTACGGTTCACTTGTGATGTACGCATTTGAAAAGCTGTAAAAAATGCTGCGCTTGTGCTCCGTGTGCTTTGTCAGACTATTAAGTCCATTAAAAGGTGCGTTACAGTAATCCAACAGTAGTAAGCGCGGATTCATTGTAGCCTGTCATTCATAATAACGTGCAGTCATTTGCATAATGATCTTCTTAATAACATGCAATACTAATAATGCTTATAATCAGTTATTTCTTTGTGAGCTCTTTGTAACACCAAAGAAGTGAAATTTACAAATCAGAAGTATTAAAGTGCCGCATTAACTGTCACTGTCAAAGTCGCTGATTTACCAACGTCGGTCCTGATAACACAGCATGACAATCCCAGTTTCCCGTATGTCTGAATGACTTCACGTTTACCCCTCTTGATTCGTTTGTAAAAATGTCAATGTGAACATGAACTAGACCAGAACTAAAACGCAAAAATGTCAAGACCAGATGAACCGAACTGCAAGTTGTCACAGCCTGTATTTTCGTTTTCCTCGCTGTTTTTCTTAACAATAAAGTGTGAAAAAGTGCCCCCTGTTTATGGCCCCACCAGAAGTCCTCGCCCCTCTGATGTGAGCCAACAGCTCCGCGCCTTGTTGCACAATTTGTGGAGTCTTACCTCTTCAGGATGCTTAGTAGATTTAACTTCTCTTTAATTATATAATGTCGCTTGAGACCAATGACATCTCTTTATAGGCATATTCAACTACTTTCCCTCTACAGTCAATTGACTTTAAAATATGTTAACTCACCTGCAGCTGCGCCATTTAGACCTATTCCAAAGAGAGCCAGGAAAACCAAGATCTTCATTGTGATCTGTCCCATCAAAACCTTTGATGGAGAGTTTGGTGAAACTGTTGTCCCACCAGTTCAAGCACTAAGAGTCAAATGAGGATAAGAGGAGAAGGGGCGCTGACTTCAACCTCCATCTGAGCCAATGGGAATTTAGGCTGAACATCACAGTCACATGACTCTGTGAATCTTTCCCTCTGAGGTTACTACCGAAAGTGAAAGTAAACATTTAGCCCGTGTTAGGGGGTGGTGGGTTTTATTTTGGCGGTCTATTTTGGTGGTTTTCTGGGAGGTCAGAGGTCACTGTTAGACCAGATCCTCTGGAGCTTGTGGGGATGCAAAAGTGTGTTGTTGTTCCTCTGTTCTGTATGGCTGCCCTGGAATTGACACCAGTCCTGATCAAAATATGAACCTCAAGCTTGGTTTCACTGATGTTATAGTGAGTAAATATGGTGACGTTCACCCTCCAGTCGTTCAAACCTGATGATGTGCCACAGCACAGTTTCTCAGTGAGGATTTTTATTATTCGTTATTTTAAACACATCTGTGCATTCACTCCTTGTGGTTATTAATGAATGGGGAGGGGAACATCTTGTATTCTTTCTGAAGTCAATTAATAGTTTATTTATGTGTTTGTACATTAAGGTAATCACAGTTAAAGTACTGACAGGACTGAGCGCTGTCCTAAGCCCCTTAGAACAGCACTGGGCTGAGAGGCATTTACTTTAGATCATCACAATTTGAGTTATTCTGTACAATAAAATTGAAATTCTCAAAGCCTTAACAAGATAGCCATTCCCCACCTTCACCCCAAACCTATGTGCTCCTATGTAATCTTTCTAATAATTTGACTTTTCTAACTGCAGTAACTAAAAACACAGGTTTCCTGAGAATTTGTTGGCATTGTTGCTTTAAAAGTAAGTGCTCAATTTAACTTTTGCACTCAGTGTAAACCATAGACATCCACTCAAAGTTCAACATGTTAAATACAATCTAAACAGGTTCTACTTATTATGTTGGGAAGATTTATCTGAACTAAAAAGAAAAGACATGATTTCAGATGCGACAGTTGCAAATGCCAAAATATCTTCTTCACTAAATCTGAAGTCCTCTCCTCCTCACTCACATTAGTTAAAATACCTTCTACTGTTCTGGTGAGGTCTTAATTTTCTTATTACTTCTGTCTAACATCATTAAGCTACGGTCATATTATCATAACACAATGGTCTTCACTGCTTAATGGTGGCTGCTCCAGACTGTGGTGTGAGGTGAAATAACACTTGATTCATCTTTGGAGACTAGACAGAATATCAACTCGGTCTGAGATTAAAAATTTTTGGTCTCTTAGCCTTCTTCTTTTTGTAAAACACAACAGCCAGGAACCTTTTCAGTACATGTTCCCTGTGCAACTTTCAGTTGAACAAATGTTGTGCCTATGAAGGTCATAACATCAATATATATGATCATATATTAAAATGTCTGAACGTTCTGATGAAAAACAAAATTTACAGACAATATAATCAGACTGGAATGTTTGTTTCTGACTAATCTAATTATTAAATATCTGACAAATATGTCACATCCTGTAAATCCAATATTGCCATAAAACTATCTTATTATTGATTTACCTTAACTTGCCTAATCCAACCAGATACATCTCAACATGCAACATGGCAAAACCTCTAACAGTTTAACATTTCTTATGTCTCATGATATAAATTGTCATATTAGCCAATCTTCTGCTGAGACACATTATCAAGTTCTGTTAACACATCCTCAGCCATTGATCACATATCGATATGAGAAAATCTAGAATAAAAAGACGAGATTAGCACAGATCCAGTGTCTTTAATGACTTTAGTCAACTCATCAACATAAGCACAGACTTTATAAAGTACCTGAGAGAGTGTGATCAGAAGACATGAGTGACATTTCCAGCAACTCACATGAGTTTACAATCAATAAAGATCACAAAGTTTACAGTAAAAAGGCAGTCAAACAAAATGTAGTGAAGCTTATCAAAACGAATATAATAATGATATAGCAGGGCAACTCAACTTGTAACTCATGAACAAGAAGTGAGACAGTTTCTATATAGTTACATAAATTGTCCCTAAATTTTTTCAAGAACATTTCATCAGTGTGCTCAGAAGCTTGAAACATCCCACAACCCTTGTAGAGTCTCAGCTAAAATTAAACTACAACAATGTTGAAAAAAAAAAACAACACTCTTGACTAACTTAGGAAATTAAATAAAAGTAATTCACCTCTGTGACGTAGGTGTCCAGTTTACGCAGCATGTTTTAGGACGATGCTGACTGATTTGCAGTCCTGCCTCCAGTAATCGAATACAGTAAGAGATGCACAAAACTGCTTTCTCAGTAAATCAGTGGTGAAAGAAGAACTCAGATCTTTTACTGAAGTAAAAGTAACAATAACCCACTGTGAAAATACTTCTACAACTACAACTACTACAAAAAGTGGTTCTGCATTCAAAATTTTGCTAAACATATTTAGGTATTATCTAGAAAATGTATTTAGTGTATCAAGAGTACTTAATGTGCAGTAAAATGTTCCCTGTTTCACTATTATACCTGCTGCTTTAATGTGTTGCATTTTACTGTTGTAGATGTTTACGCTTGAAATAATTTTAACATCCTTTTGGGTAGTTTAATCTACAGCAATGCATCATATTATATAATATCAACATGTCACATCATATTTGCCTTTGAGATGTAGTGGATTAGAAGTTTAGTAAAGTTAGAGTACCTGGAATTAGTAGTTAAGACAAGGGGCCTACTTGAGTAAATGTGTAAATAGTGAAGAAAGCTCTCTAATGTTTAAAAGAAATCATATTGCCAGACCCTGTGAGTAAATATACCAAAATGGGAATGCACATACATGGATGAGTGTTTGTCAATATATGTATTTACTTTTGTTTTACCAATATTGGTTTTACCAGAAAACCCAACACCAGATGTATATACTGTATATATACTAACTGTAAATACGGTAGATTTGTTTTAGATGAACACTACACAAAACGTTAAATCAATTACGAATGTACAAAGAGTACTGTGATGCTTTCATTGCTTTAAAAATTGTGTTTTACTTCACTAATGGCAAAAAAAATATATTAATTATGCTAATTTGAATTTCCAACATTTTTGAAACATTTTATCAGAGGAAATTCCAGATTTTTTAAAAGTGAAAACTAAATTATGAATGTAATTTAACCATTAATGTCTGATAATATTTGTAAAATATTTGTCAACTCATTTTTATAATTAGTTTTCTTTGTGTTCTAATCAATAAGCATCTAGTCCTCAAATCCCAACCCTCATTATCAGTTTATGATATGATAATCTATAATCAATTAATTCCCTGTTTACAGAGGAGGATGTGGCACCGCTGCTTGTTCCAGTGCAAAAGTTACCCATAAACCTAAAGAGACAAAAATAATAAAATTACATAAACTACTAAACTAAATTTAACATGAATGTTCAATTCCACAGTTCCACATGGTTAAATGATCATTTAGATAAAAAAATATCTGTGATCATTTAAGAGTTAACACTTAATATTTGAGTTTTTAATATTACACTTAATCTGACCTGCTGAAGGTTTCTGACAGAATCTGTTCTTTTCTCTTAATAATCTCACTTAACTTCACATGAAACAGTTTTAGCTTTGTTGTAGAAAATCAATTGAAAGCCAAAGATGTTTGTGTCACAGAGGAGTCACAGATAAAGATACTAAATCAGCTTAGTATAACAACAGGTGTAAATTCATGTCACATATGAAGTGACTCACTGTGTTAAGGGTGGCGTGTTTGTCATTAGAGCTTTTGGATCAGCTCCTTCTGCACCTCAGGGTTGCTTTCAGCTGTAGGGTCAGAAACATGTTGTTAGTCTCCGTCCTGCTCTGAGTTTTACAAACAGCCAACACTGCAGGTCAGGTCAGAGAAACTGAATAAAAACAAGTTTTACTTACGAGATGGAGGGCGTTTGGCTGAAAGAAAAGACACATTATTTATGTTGTTACATTTAAAATGTCAGATTTTATCTCTTTCTTTCCAGTGATAATCCCCTCTTCTACTCAATAAATAAAACTTGATGTTTAGGTCTTTTATTATTTCTTTCCCCTGCATCATGCTACAGTCATATTATGATTAAATTCTAAGCCTCAAAGTGTTTATTGAAATCTGGATTAAACACATTAAAGTCTAAAATCGAAATACTGAAAAAAAGACAATGTCTCTGTTAGGTCTCTCACCGTTTATCTTTTTGTAAATGAAGAATACAATCACAGCGATGGCGACGAAAGCAAGAACAACCACTACAACAATGATGATGATGACAGTCATGTCAGAGGGATTCCCTGTTGAGCAGAAAACACATATTTAGTTTACTGTAACAATCCTGCAGTTCATGTGTTTTATGTGTCCAGTGAGAAGTTTTGTTTTCTGATATTGGAGACCATAGGGCTCTCACACTTTTCAGTTTTTGTCTGTGAGCTTCTGTAAAGCTATGTTTCATTATAAAACAATTTGCAGTGTTGTAACAGTAATTCACCTTGATCAATTTCTCAAACGTTGCTAAAAGCTAAACAAAGCCAGACATGCATAAACAACCATAGATGCAGTAATTATGTTCAGACAATGGGGATAAAAATTCAATTAACAGCAGGACAAACAAACACGTAGTGTCTATAGGTTTGGTTGGCAGATGGATGATCATCTCCTCTAACCCACTTCTTCTAAACAGATTGTGTTTTGTTGTTTCCCACATTCACCACTTCTGATACTAGTCTTACTCTTCGGGATCTTTGCTTTGTCCAGTTTGGTGATGATGTCGTCCTTCACACCAGAGAGATGAAACACACAGTCGTACCTCCTCCAGTCTTCAGGTGTGACTGATGAAAGATTCAGGTCAACACTCATCTGGAAGGATCCATCGTTGTTGGGGAGGATCTCTCCGTGGTCCACGTCCTCATGAAGCTCCTCTCCATCTTTCCTCCAGAACATCGTGGCTCTGTCAGGGTAGAAACCTGTAGCGTGGCAGCTGACTGGAGAGGAGGGAGTCTTCTGGAGGAGAGACACTGAGGGAAGCTCTGGAGAGAGAGAGAGAGAGAGAGAGAGAGAGAGAGAGAGAGAGAGAGAGAGAGAGTTTATAGGTTCTTTATTATGATTTACTGTTTATTAATATCATCATTTATGTTTATCGTTTTTTTATCGTTTATGTACTATAAAACACTAGACTACTCTAAGTAGGCTATGCAATGTAAATAAACCGTAACGTGTAACAAAGTAAAGAAGGGAAGCACTGAGGGGAAAAGACAGACAGAAAGAAAGGAGGAGAACAGTAGGTGCATCTCAAGTTTCTTGAGCTGTGGGCTCCGTGAGTAAAATCAGCTGATGAAATGAATGAATGAAAGCACTGGTTGGACTATGAAGTGCTGGATTGATATAATGGAAAGTACAGATCAATTGGTGACAAGTGATGTGACTGGCAAATAAAATGTATGGAGTAGTGTTAAAGGACATCAGAAGATTAAATAAACAGAAAGCCTAAAACTGAGTGTCGGCTTTCATATGAGTTACATCATTTCACTTTCCCTGAAACATTTAGACTACTGAATCAAGAGACACCATGATCATATTCTGGGTTATTCAATTATGTTCACAATCAGAATCAATAAATACAAATGCAGGTAATGAACATGATATAAGCATTGTGCCAGTAGAAATGATAATGTGCCTCTGAGCAGGACACAGTATAATTATTCATGCGCAGGTTTTTGTTAAACAGATTACTACAGAGACAAAACAAGCGGCTCTGCAGTGATAACAGAGACTTTATTAGTATCAACACAGTGCACGTGTGCAGACACAAACTCCATCAAAAGTCTCTCCAGCTGTTAGAGCTGACTGACAGCTGACACCTGACAGCTGCGATCTATAGAAATACAATAATAATAACAATATCATTATTACTATAGTATATATTTTTTGGAACGCGCTATAGAAAATTACTATATTAATTCTAGAGATTTAGCTATGGTGATAATATAGTGAAGTTATAATTATAGGCTACTATTGGCTCCTGTAGTATAGTTTAGGGAATTACTATAGTCATTCTAAATTGTTTATACAGAATTACTATAGTTTTTTGTACTATAGTAATAACTGTGGTTCATTTTCGTAAGGGTGGGGTGGGTTGGCACAGTTTTCAGTCTCTACTGTTTTTCTCTGGCATAAATTACATTGATCAGCCATAACATTATGACCACCTGCTGGTCATAATGAAGGTCTCTCTTTTACTGCCAAAACAGCCCTGACTCCACTGTATGCACTATGTGTTCTGACACCTTACTATCAGAACCAGCATCGATTTTTTTATCAATTTCACCTACAGTAGCTTGTCGGTTAGATCGGACCACACAGGCTCACTTCACCTGTCAGTGGTCATAAAGTTATGGCTAATCAACGTATGTTAGAATATTCCAACAAACAGCAAATGAAAGATTCAGGTCCCTGCAATACATAAATATTTTTATGTACACAAATGTTTTCTAAAATTAGATGATTTGAAAATAAAGTCATGCTGTGCATTTGTGCACACAATTCTCTGGTCCTGTGCTTTGTTAAGCAAAATTGAACAGATAATGCAATGTATATAATTTTTTAATGCTAAACAACTGATATCAACCCAGATGCTTAAGGCTACCCGTGATGTTGATGTTACTGTTGCTAAGAAACAAATGAGGCATATTGTGTCCATGAAACTCAATCATGTGATTCTACCTTTTCTCTGCAGAGAGCTCCTCCCATAGTCCAAATACTTCTTCAGCCAGTCAACGCACTCCTGGGTCAGGTAGTTCTTGTCCTGTGCGATCAAAGCTCTGTTATTATCCCACTTGTTCTTGGTGATGACAGCTTGTGGTTTTGGAGCGATGTATGTCTCTGTCTTCAGGTCAAATGCTATGAAGTCTTCTCCATCATAACCATACTGATTAAACCCATTAACCTCATTAGTCTCATCATCCCACTCACAGCCGATCATCCACTGGACAATGTGGACACCTGAGAGAGAGAGAGAGAGAGAGAGAGAGAGAGAGAGAGAGAGAGAGAGGTAAACCAGAGATCACACTTCATGTGAGCTGCAGGAACACAAGTTGAGGTGGAGCCCTGACTAGCAAACACAGGTTAAACCTGATCATGGACTGAACATGAGTAAAGAAACAATCCTGCTGATCAATGAGCTCCATCAGAGCGTCTAAACATGGATTATAGAAGCTGAAAGTTTAATTCTGTTTCCTCTGGAGAGTTTCCTCTGTCTGTCCTGTCATGATATTTACTGCACGGATGGAAACGTTTAAATGACTGACAATAGCCTCTCTAATCATGAAAGTAAATTGTCAAAGAAAACACTGATACATCAATATAACACAATAGGCTAAAGAAATTACCTGGAAAGCTACAGTGTGCGTTGGAGGTGGGGTAAAATGTCCATGCAGGTGCTGGTCTCTAAATCTGATAAAATAATTAGTTTGTTGGGGGCGGGTGGATTATTTATTTACATGAGTATTCAGATAATGAGAGCTGATCCACGCATCACAACAATAAAGATGCTATAATTGTGACAAAACAATTTCTTTAATGGAAAGTGAAACGCTCATCTCATCAGCTGAGGGCTGAAATGATCTCCTGTTTTCAGGCAAAATGTGCACTGCTACCAGATTTCTGTGTACTGCATGATAGTACGCTACTGTAATCTGACAACAGATGATGTTTATTGCAACCTCGAGATGTTTCTACATGTCATAAATTTGACATACATGTTCCTTGACTGTGAAGATACGTATGATCTGTAGCCTTTATGTATTAGTGCAACAGCTGGTCTGCTCATCTGATAGAAATCACAGTGACAGATGATGCAGCTGTGCAACACGTCTTATTTAATTGACGTCGCTTTAAAATGACGTCTCTGAAGCAAGGACATAACATTTCGTTAAATACCTGTTTCTTCGACTGGTCTCTCCTCGAGGATCGAGGAGGCACAAATTTGGGAAATGAGAAAGACCCTCTGTATCAATGTACAGCAGCATCAGTTATGTTTCTGTTGAGTTTGACTGTTTCAGCAAAGAAAAGCCTCCATCAGACAGTTTAACCTACGAGACTAAAACTTGAGAGATGAAGAATGGTGTGTGTGTGTGTGTGTGTGTGTGTGTGTGTGTGTGTGTGTGTGTGTGTGTGTGTTGTAACATCTGTTTACTAAAATACAGGATGAAAATAAACATTTTATCAGTAGAAAGCGAAACACAAACAAACCTCCAGTTTGGTTAAAGCGCTGCTTCAATATGTCAATGTTGGCTTTGAACCACTGCTGGGCACCCAGACGGATCTGAGTCTCCCGCTCCCAGTACTGAGGATCATCTGTTGTGACTCTCCTCATCCAGTCCTGTTTGGGTTCTGCTCTCCTGGTGTTACTGTCAAAGTGATCTATCTGAACTTTATCAACCAACCCAACAGACACAAACTCTGGGAAGTTTGGGACTCCAGAAGATCCAGTGTAGAAATAGTTCAGAGAGTGAGTCACTGTGAGAAAAGCTTCATTATTTCAGTTTTTATATCACAGTTTTATAAAATCACTAAACAAAATCCTGAACACAGAATAAAAAAAAAAAACTACAATACAAGACATCCTAACAATCTCTGTTGTGCATTCAATTAATACAAAAATACATTTATAGATAGAGTACAGTTTTATGCGGGTTAGAAGTGGGTTGTTTTGATCTTTTCTGATGCTGTTGCCATTTTTTCATATTCAAGTAATCACTGATGTCATGTTTTTATCTGGTTGTTAGAGGATTTGTGGTTACAAATGTTTGAGTATATTTTTAAATACAACCAAATGAAAAAATAAACATCTTAGCTAGTCCCTTGTGTATCTCACATTGATATATCTTGATTTATGTAAACTGAAGAATTATATTTGAGTTTTAACTTCCAATATCTTTGATAACCTATAGTCTGTATTGTATGATAATTGTAGAAAAGTTATGGCAGAAAACTGGCAATATACAAATTTCCACGACAATTAACAGACACATTTCTATCTTTAAGAAAGTTCTCTTAAGCAATATTTAAATTTCTCATGTAGTCCCATTCTTCTTTCTTTTTCTTTAATTTATTCCAATTATATTAATATTTTAAAGGTTTTAACAAAGTAAACTATCTGCAGGTGTCTGAAATTATTGTTTATTTCAGAAACCTCTGCTGTCTGAACGAATGTAGATCATATTTCTGTGTTAAGCTGCACTTTAAACATTTTGAACTGGTTGAAAATGAAATTATAAATAATTATAGACATTAAAAATCGGATATAGGCCTATCAGTCAAGTATTGTTTCAACTAAAAGAAACATAATATAAACTATTTGTTTTTGGTGATCAAGATGCATACTGAGCAAAACATTTCAGTTTAAAAATAACCCTATCAGAGCTCTCTGGTGGACAAACGATGTAATGGAGACATTGTTTCTACATTTCCTTAAACCTCAGTTTGCTGTTACCTGTCACTTATCAGCCGACATAGGGCCTACACTGATATGATGCACCGGTTATAACCTAATTTCAGCAAATAATATCATCATACAGTAACTACCTGCGTGATGTAATCTGTTACGTTGGCATCAATATCCATAAAAACAACACCATCAACAGACTTATTGGTGTTGTTAAATATAAAAATCCAAAAGCTATTTTTGTTCAATCTACAAGGAGGTCCTTGAACTAAACATCAATGTATATATTTTTAAAAACACTACATATGTAGGTCTACCAAGAGCCCTATAAAGACCGAACTTTTCTTATAAAATCAACTGATTAAAAAAGTTCTGAACCCACCTGCCGCGGCGCCTTGTAGACCTACTCCCAGGAGAGCCAGGAAAACCAGGATCTCCATTTTTAGTCTAGGCTACATGTCGCATCAAAACCTTCGACTTTTGACTAAACTGATACGCCTATATTTCCTATATCATGAGAAACATATAGCCTACCGTATACCTACAGCGGCGTTAACTCTTCCGTCTGAGCCAATGGGAATTCAGGCTGAGTATCAGAGTCACTTATAACTCGGTAAAACTGACCCGCTGAGGTTATTAACGAAAGTGAAAGTAAAGTATATTTTAACCTGTGAAATAGGATGAGGTGGGCGTTATTTTGGTATCCCAGCTTTGTTTGCATATGAAAGGAGTATTAAACCTTCTGCTGCTCAGACACTGAATAATGTTTTGCAGGCTGATGTCATGTAACGAACAGAAATGTGTTAATTTTCTGGTCAGACGTCACTGTCAGATCAGATCCACTGGGGTTTGTGGGGATGCAGTATAGTGTCTTGTTGTTCTTTTGCTCTATATGGCTGTCCTGGGAATAAAAACAGTCCTGATCAATGAACAAACAAACCTGCAGGTGATGTGCAGCAGCACATTTTCTTAGTGAGGACTGTTACTCTGTTACTTCAAACGCATGCGTACAATCACACCCTCTGGTTATTAAACAGGGACTGGAACATCTTATATCCTTTCTGAAGTCCATGTCCAGTACAGTAATTTATTTGTGTTACATTATGTGTTGAGCTATTTTGTTTAGTTTCAGGCCTACAAACAGTTTTGGGAACAAATTAGAGCCATTAGGACAGGCAATATAATAAAACACAAGACAGTTTCCATGAAAGAATATTTCACCTCCGTATTTGACCGAAATTAAATCAAGAAGCAAAGAAATCAGACAAAAGCAGAAACAGAGTCAGAGAGCTTCTTAAACACAAAGACAGATCAGGTATCTCTGTCATCCAGGCTAAATGCTCCTTGTTTGGAGCTTTGGATGCTGAAAACTGCCTAACATTATGTTATAGAATGTATGTTTAAAATATTGATTTAAGGTTTGAATGTACTTAAAATTTTAAAAGTAAAAGTTCTCAATGCAGAAAGAAAAATGTCCTGTAACTGTTAAACTATAGATTTTTATTATTACGCATGCGTTAATGTTAATGTTGTAATTGTGCAAGTAATTATTATTTTCATTATGGATTAATCTGTTGATTATTTTCTCCATAAATCAGATTGAGATTTTGAAAATAGTGTAAAATGCCGTAATAATTACCCAGAGCCTTAAGTGACACTTTCACAATTCTTTCTTTGTCTAACCAATAGTACAAAGCTCAAAATTATTACAAATAAATTTTTATGATTAAAAGGGAAAGCAGAGCATCTTCACATTTGTGCCGGGGGAACCATGAAATGTTTTTACAAATGTCTCAGATTAAAGTAGTGAAGTAAAAAGTACAATATTCCCCTCTGAGGTGTAGTGGAGTAGAGCTAGAAAGTGTCATGAAATGAAAATATTCAAGTAAAGTACAAGTACCTGAAATTTGTACTTCAGTACAGTACTTGAGTAAATGTACCTAATTACTGTCCACCACTGCTCTGATCACACGTACACATCTTAAGAATAACAAAATAAAAAATAAATAAAATCCATTTAAAAAGTATTTATTGGTAATGAGCAGCCTCACAGCTCCCTGAAACCTGAATATCTCTTTAACAAAGCTGAATTACTGAAAAAGTCTTCAATGTTATGAGAATATGAACATTCAACAAACAACTTATCACCTGGTTTTCAGAAACTCTATATCCATTAATAAAACTCTAATCTGTAAAAGAAATGTTAGTTACACTCAATACAATAAAGTCCTCAATAATCCCCCACAAACGCACAAATTGTAATAATAGAACATCTCAAAGAAAACGGGTTATTTTTAGTTTTATATATTATTTACATATGAAATCTGGGAAATCCTAGGAAAGCTTTGTTAAAGAGGAACTTCACTAATTTTCTCCTATGTTGTGTCAGAGGGGTTGTGGATTTTAAACTCTTAAAAATTATTTAGCATAAAGACGGAATCATGAGCTTTGGATAAATAGCTAAAAGTAGCTTTTAGTATGGTCCAAATATTGTTTTTTAGGCGTTAAGGCAGTGATTCCTACAGTTGGTGTCGTAAAGTGAAAGTTATTACTACCCAAAATTAAGAAGCAGTCAGAATCTGACAACTCACCAGGTCAAGTCAATTTCTTCTGGTGAAGATGTCGTCATTCACACCAGAGAGTTGAAACACACAGTCATTCCTCTGCTGATGAAGGTTTCAGGTCACTCAGTTAAGCAAGTACAGTAGTTGCCGTTAAAACTTTAGTTTACATCAGATCTAGTCAGCTAAAATCAAGTCCTTACTGTTTACGGATATGTTTTGATCATCACAACTAACTTCAAATGCAATAAGTTACTTCATTCATATTGCAACAGGGCTAATTACCTTTTTAAAATATGAATTATATCTTATTTTATCATGAACTTAAACTATCTGCAGCACATGATGTGAAATAAATGTGCATACCTTCATTACAAATAAGGAGGGGCAGGTTTGAAAAGTTTAATATACTACTTTCAAAATATAGTAATATCATAGAACTGTTTTTCAGTAAAACATCCTAAATACATGTATGAGTGTACTATTTAAGGATAGTGTTTGGGTTCAGCTGGCAGTTGTTGGTAGGCTATGGTTTGTCAACATTATAAATCAGGGAAAACAACCTGTAGGCCTTTCTGTTTAATGGACTTTACAGTGGGGTAAGGAATACTCCAGTAGCTCCAGTACCAATACAATAGAAATATAGGTGAAAGTCCTGCAATCAAAACAAATAATATGATCAATGATGTCACAGAACCACCCCGCATATTATACCAACCTATAGAATATCAATCTAAGAAACAGTCACATTAAACACTGCAAAAAAACAACTTCAAGAAAAATCCAACATTTACATAAAAATTAAATTTGATTGAGCATTTACACATCTACAAAATAAATCTTAAACTGACACATGCCAGTGTGTGTGGATATGTGTGTCTATATGAACATTTGCATTTGTAAAATAAACTTTACCAGCTTCAAACCATCCAGAAGAAGAATATCACATAAACACCCAAACCATAAAATGAATCATGTGATGACAAGCTTACTGATATTTTTTGTTCTTGTGCATCTTTATTTAACTCAACCCCCCCCAAAAAAAGACATGAGAGAGCATCTCCAATGTGTTAAATCATCATGTAATATATTAACACAAGAAATATGAAAAAATATTTATATAGACAGATCTACATTTACCTATTTACAGACACATTTGTCAACAGTGGGAACACCTCCTCTTGTATTTTAAGTAGAGAGGGATGGAATTGGATTTTCACTCCAGTCCCATCCCATTCCTGATAAAAACAAAGTCTGAAAGTAGTTTCTCATGTTATTATATTTATATATATAAAAAGCTGATTTATGACTCACATAACAGCGAGAACAACCTTTTCCGTATATTCCGCATGTACAACTTTCAATTGAACAAATGTTGCATCAACAAGGCTGTGATGTGAATCTAGTCTTCTCACAATTGATGTATTTTTATATTTTATGAAATCACTTTCATCTTTAATAGAACATATAGTTTTCATAGTCTGGATGTCTGAAGTCCCCTGTGTTCCTGCCTGAAACCCGCTTGACTCCCATCCCAAAGGAATCCCGTGACCCACAGGTTTCCCCCCAAAATGTCATCCTCTAATATGAATTAATTGATCATTTACATTCAATATGTATATATTTTTTGATTATTTATCATTAAGATCCACTGTGGAATGAAACATTGCCATTTAACATTCAAGAGAATGTAGTTCATAGTGTTGAAGTTCTGCGTCAACCTTGTTTGAGTTTTCTGCCCAATATGTTTCATTCACCGAACAGAGTGAATTCTCTGTGAGTTTGTCTTTTGATCCATTTTCCATACAAAAGTATGAAATAATATATTTTTTATTATTATTATTATTTATTATAATATTGACCTTATAAAAGGTCAAAGCTATTTCAATTTTAGTGGTGTGGTGAACCTCTTATTTATGTTTGAATTAATGATTTGTGACTTTACTGTAGTCAGTTTTGAAGATTTCTCATGAAGTGAAGTTCTTTTCAAACTCTTGCTCGCTTCTGTTTGGAAAAATAAATAAATTCATAAATGAACAGAGCAAAAATGTATGATGTGTCAATAATGTATCAAAAATGCAAAAGGTGTGAAACTACTGTGATAAAAAAGGAAATGCTTGTTATTTCTCAAAACATGCTTAATTTGGCTTACGGTGCAACATGCAGGTGATGTTTTAAACAGACGGAGACATTAGTTACCTTAATCAGTGGTGTCACTGCCTTGACGTCCTATAGAAGAACCAATTTGCAAAAAAAGAAACCTCTTTAATATCAAAGTGAAATCAAATTTTTACAAACTACAAACTGTATACTAATTCACTAATTTATATCACTTCCTCTTCCAGGATGTGGATAGAGCCTCTGCAGTGGATAGATGTAGCCTAGAATTAGTCAGAGCCAGGATGCCATGTTGTGATGCTTCTAGCCACCTCCTCCTAAAAGCAACACCCTCACCTTGTTCTGTTTTACTAAACATATAGCCACTGGTTCTTATGTAAGCATCATTCACTGAACTGAATCTTGACACAACGCAGCCATCTTTATGTTGGCTGCAGCCATCTTTATGTTGTAGGTGATGTATCAGGAAGACAAAGCAGGTGAAGAGTCATTAGTTACCTTTAATCAATGGTGTGTCGCTGTGTACACTTTCTGTAGAAGAATTCTTTGAAGAAGACTTTGACTCTGAGGAGAAGAAAATACAAAATAATTAGAACAAGATAGATAGACAGATAGACAAACTGACCTGATGTAAACCCTTTGCAGACAGAGATTGAACCCCGAGTCTGTGTGGTAGTGTGAGAGAGTTCTGCCTAAGCCCCTTAGAACAGTATTTAATGCTGCAGCCATCTTTATGTTATGTCACAAGTTATAGGTGATGTATCAGGAAGACAAAGCAGGTGAAGAGTCATTAGTTACCTTTAATAAATTGTGTGTCAATTTTTGTGGAAGAATTCTTTGAAGAAGACTTTGACTCTGAGGAGAAGAAAATGCAAAATAATTAGAACAAGACAGATAGACAGATAGACAAACTGACCTGATGTAAACCCTTTGCAGACAGAGATTGAACCCCGAGTCTGTGTGGTAGTGTGAGAGAGTTCTGCCTACGCCCCTTAGAACAGTATTTTCCTATTACTTCTCGCTAACATCATTGTCACGGCTGTCGCTGTTGTCCCTGTATTTCCACAATCTGTCTCACCTATACCAAGTAAGCTGTGTGACCCTGTGGTGAAGAAAGGTCTACCTGTGGAATGAAGACCCGCCTACTTCCTGGTTTCTGTGGAGCTCTGTCAGGCTGACTTCAGTCCCACCCATTGTTCCCCTCTGTTCCTGCTCAACCAATGGCTCGTCACCACCTTAGCCCACCAGTTGCTCTCAGCAGCTTGTCGCAACCAGTTGACTTGTGTGTTGATTGTGTGCAGTTTTAGTGAAGTAAGTACTTTGCGAGTTACCTTCTGTAGTTGTGTTTAGTGAGATAAATCTCTTGAGTCTGTCGTAGCCAGTTTTATGTTATGTTTATTAGTTAGACACTATTTGGTTTTTGTGAGCTTTTTAGTGATGGGCAAAGCGAGGCTTTATGAAACACTGAAACGTTTGAAGCAATTGTGCCGGAATTGTGTCGAGGCTTCGAAACACTTCGACACCCGTCTCCACGGTGATATCTACTGGTCACTTTTGATAGACACATCTTGGTAGGGGTTTCATTCAAACAATGATTGACCAGCGTTTGCAATTCTAAAGCCTTATAAATACATGACCAACAGGATTTTGGAGAAATCACCACACAACAAACAAACAAATGCCTTCAGATTGTCAGAGACAGCAGATTTTTAATAAAACACATCTGTGTGTTGTTTAATAAGTAATCACTCATTTAGCTGATGCTTTTCTCAAAAGCAATTCACAATTGCTGTGTCAGAGGGCACACCTCAAGGTTAAGTGTCTTGTTCAGGGACATGTGTATCACAGTGGGAATCGAACCCACGTCTCTCACACTAAAGGCATATGTCTTAACCACTACTCTATCCATTTTCAGAGTCAGAATACTTCATTGATCTATGAGGGTTACTATTTTTATTATCATCATTATCATTATATTATTGGCCCTGCGATGGACCTGGCGACCTGTCCAGAGTGTACCCTGCCTTTCGCCCGATGTCAGCTGGGATTGGCTCCAGCCCCCCCGCGACCCTGTACGCAGGATAAGCCGTTGACGATGGATGGCATTATCATTATTGTTGTTGTTGTTGTTATTAGTTCTTTTCTTACAACTGTTTTTATCATCATTATTATTACTACTGATGTTATTACCACTACCATTGACCAGCACTCAGTCCTTCCAGGATTTCGCAATTTCACAGTTCCACAACACAAATTCAACAAATCCCTGCAAAATCAGCATGACTAGCAATTTTGACAAATCGCCGCAAAATGTTGTCACACACCAGCAATGTCACCTCTTTGTTTACAAGTCGCTACAGACAGGTGTGATACTGAAAATATAAGTACACCGTTGTCTCTTGACACACCTTTTGCCGGCCCAAAACATGGATGGAGAATGACAGAAACACCTGGAGGACTTCAACATAGTCTGTTGCATCCTGGCCAATTGCAAGCACCGAAAGAATCAAGGTAAGTTGGTTTAAATGTGCATGGTTAGGGTTAGGCCCGCGAAATCCTCGAGGTATGGTTTAATGATTCAACTATAATTCTAAAGTTAAAAATATCACATCCACCTTTGCAGTTTTCACTTTTCCCACAATTGAATCACAAAATAACACCGAATAAAATTGCAACTTTAATCTCAACTTTTTAGAAAAGCTGCCGCAAAATCTGAAATTTTAGGCCACAACAATTATAAAAAATCCCCACTAAATCCTGGATGGACTGAGCACTATAAATGAATATGTGGAACTTGCATTGCACTACTGTGTGCTTTCCACCCGCTGACACGACCCATACAGCCATTATTCACTCATTGTATTGATTAATCAAAATCAATAATGAAAAAACAACATTGGACTAATCAAGCATCTTTGAACAATTTAGGGAGCGCATCAACATCAGCATAGATTTTGTTACCCAAGAGAACTGTTTGATGAAGATAAAGACATACTGCAAAAAAGCAGAGGGCACTGTGGCTCTTGGCGTTATATCCCATTCTGCTGGTAGATTCACATTTTTGTGAATTAAGAATATAACCTTCATCAACTTCAGCACTCAGTGAAAGCCACTGTTGAAAATCAAATCTAAATTTAAAATACAAAAACAATAAAAACAAGTTGTACTTACATTTGGCAAAAAAAGTAAAGACAAATTGTTTCAGTTGTTGAAATGTAAGGGTATTGATCCCCTCCTCCTCCTACTGGTTAATCCCTTCTACCTTTTCATTTAGATTTATTTTTGTTCTTTCTAGATCAGTTTTCTCTTATTTTTTGATGGTGCTGTCATATTATTATGAAACTGTCAGAGCTTTACACTTCTTACAGGTGGTTGCTTTAGACTGTCGTGTGCAAGGACCTGACGCTTGTTTCCCTTTGAAATCTGGAGAAGCATTGACTCAAAGAACAACATTTAAAGAAGAACTGGAAATGCTAAGTTTGGAATTCCTCTCACCTTTTATCTTTTTGTAAATGAAGAATCCAATCACTGCAATGAGGACGATGACAGCAACAACCACTGCAGCAATGATGGAGATGATGATGATATCAGTGGGCTTCTCTGTAAAGCACAACAACCACAACAAAGAAAAATATCACAACTTGTACTGTACAGAGTAAATCTTTTGTATGCTGCATTATGGACCTTTTGTCATTTAGAGGTCAAAAGAGTAAAAATACAGCACACAAAACTAGTCATTGGGCCTCATGCAAGAAAATGTTTGTATTCTTATCCTAAATCTCTCTTAGGTTTCCTTGTTCCAAGTTGGATTCACCACACTGTCATAACCGGACAAACCTGTTGTAAATAACTTTTCGTTTCAGTCTGATGAACACCACCTGCTCATGAGGAGGTGCGTTCATGAGATTTCATCATTTGCAAAATCAGTGTCTCTACATACGGCTGCTACCCAGAGTAAAATTTTACATTGCAGATCACAAGATACAAGTCCTGCTGTTGGCAATCAGCAAACAAGTCTAGCAGTTTCAGTGTCGTGGTATTAGAGGACCAGAAGCAGTTAAAAATATTTATAATACAACTGTCAGAAATACAGAAATAAAGTGGGAATTATTTACCACAACGTTAGATGGTAATTAATGTCTTTCTCAAGCAAAGCGGTCCATGACTAATATGAGAAGTCAGAGATATTTTAGATGAGATAATATTATATCTTAACTGAATTTAGGGACCATGAGACATAATAATCTAAAAAAAGATGAAGAGGTTTGTCTATTTTATTTTAGTTGATATGAGTATCACATTGAAACTCCAAATTAATTCAGATTAAGGCATAATGATCTGAGGTCAAAATCTTTTCCCCTGTGTAGAAAGGAAAACTGTGTATGTGACTTGTACAACAGGTCTGGTCTCATAAATTGTGTTCAGAGAGAAAATTCTAAATATGAAAAAATTACTGATTGCCACAAATTCTCGAGTCTCTCATACAAATCTTTTCCTAAGAGTAGTCCTCGCATGACGTCCATTGTGTGGTCAAATTAATGTACAATATGAAAATTAATGTACATTATAAAATAAAGCTATATTTAACACCAAAAATAACTTAACCACAGGACAAATGTGTGTTTCCCACCTTCATAACTTCTGTTTCCAGTCTTACCCAAGTTGGTTCTGATCTTTGCTTTGTCCAGTTTGGTGATGATGTCGTCCTTCACACCAGAGAGATGAAACACACATTCGTACCTCCTCCAGTCTTCAGGTGTGACTGATGAAAGATTCAGGTCAACACTCATCTGGAAGGATCCATCGTTGTTGGGGAGGATCTCTCCGTGGTCCACGTCCTCATGAAGCTCCTCTCCATCTTTCCTCCAGAACATCAGGGCTCTGTCAGAGTAGAAACCTGTAGCGTGGCAGCTGACTGGAGAGGAGGGAGTCTTCTGGAGGAGAGACACTGAGGGAAGGTCTGGAGAGAGAGAGAGAGAGAGAGAGAGAGAGAGAGAGAGAGAGGTTTAAAGGTTCTTTATTATGATTTACTGTTCATTAATATTATCATTCATGTTTAATGTATTTTAAATGTCTCAGTATCACAAACACAGTATGTAATATGCTGTATGTGAACTGTAAATAAACCTCATGGAAGTGTAACTGAGTAGATCCTCGGACAGAGGTCTGTTGTCTGTTCCAGAGTCTCGACTGAAAACTAAAGGGGACAGAGCGTTTGCTGTCAGGGCCCCGAGGCTCTGGAACAGCCTGCCCGAGGAAATCAGGTCGGCTGAGTCAGTGAACTCTTTCAAGTCCCTTCTTAAAACATACTTTTATAGGAGAGCTTTTCCCGATCTTATTTGACTTTATTTTATCACTTTTATTTTATTGTATTTTACTAATTTTATATTAATTTTTCATGCTCTTGTTTTTTTTTTTGTAGTATTCTTTACACTTGTTAAAGCACTTTGTAACTTGTTTTTGAAAAGTGCTCTACAAGTAAGGATTATTATTATTATTATTATTATAAAGAAGCGAGGCACAGAGGGGGAAAAGACAGATGAAAATAGGTGACGTAGATTAGAAAGGGAGGAGGAGGACAGAGTGAGAGTGGTGATACATTTTTGAGACAGAGGCAGACATAGTATGTTATTGTAATATTACTGCTTAGAAACAAAATAGGCTTATTAACATTGTTGAGTCCATGAAACTACATCAGGTCATGTGATTCTACCTGTTCTCAGCAGAGAGCTCCTCCCATAGTCCAAATACTTCTTTAGCCAGTCAACGCAAATCCGGGTCAGGTAGTTCTTGTCTTGTGCTTTCAAAGTTTGGTCGTGATCAACCTTTTGTTTGGTGATGAAAGCCTGTGGTGTTGGAGCGATCCATGTCTCTGTCTTCACGTCAAATGCCATGAAGTCTTCTCCATCATAACCAAACTGATCATAACCTCTAACCTCTCCAGTCTCATCGTCCCACTCACAGCCATATATGTTCTGGAAAACGTGTGCACCTGAAAGAGAGACATCAGTAAACAGAGTGAGATCACAGCTCATCTATCATCAGCTGATATCACATCTTCACCACAGAGACACACTGATCCACAGACACCAGAACAGAGGATCTACACCTCCTGCTGTGATTGGCTCGACGGACGACACTCACAGCCAATCACCAACTGGACGTGTGTGGATGTCTTGAGAGAGAGAGAGAGAGAGAGAGAGAGAGAGAGAGAGAGAGAGAGAGAGAGAGAGAGAGAGAGAGAGAGAGAGAGAGAGAGAGAGAGAGAGAGAGAGAGAGAGAGAGAGAGAGACATTTTTGGCCTTTATGAAACTAGACCCTCGCCACTTTTACTCTATCACGGAGTGAACTCTGGTCGGAGTCAGCCTCACAGCCAAATCGAGCTCTCTAACCCATCTCACTGTGTTGAACCCTATAGAGTTATTCTGATCTAATCTAGTGGAGATAAAGTGTTATTGATCTCTGCTGGTTATTATGGGATGGAAATAAACTCTGTATCAGTATAGTACAGCAGCATCCAGGAGCCTCCGTATTTCTGTTGAGTCTGACTGTGTTTCAGCCAAGAAAAGCAGACAATCTACAAGAATAAAACTTGGCAGACAGATGAAGAATGGTGTGTGTGTGAGTGTGCACGTTAACACCAGGGGCCTGTACCATGAAGCAGGATTTGAGCTCATACAGATAACTAGCCTAACCATGGGTTTTCAGTAGGTTACCACGGCTGTGGTTCACTTCTTACCGGGGGTAGATCGCCATGGTAACTTAAAGGCTAACCTGATCCGGAGCAGGTTATGTTCGAGATAATAAATAGGCCTACACCACCTACTGACCAAGGTTATTATAGTTCATATTATAGATATGTCATTAATTTTTATTTTTATTTTGTTTTGACTTTTTGTTTTCAATTTCATTTTCATCATTCTGATGCACAACTGACCCAGTAACTCTGCCTATGTTCAGCCACTTCTTTACTGGTTACCACTTATCATTTATTTATTCATTATTCTCTATTTTAGAGCAGTTAATACTGTTCATATTGTCATATTGTATATACTGTATACCAAATCCACCTACCTCATGTACATAACACCGCACATAATACTAATTCCAGCATTCTTTGCACTCATCTCACTGTGTACTTGTATGCTTGTATGTGTATGTGTACCTGTATATCACTTCCAGCGCCGACATGTACATAATAATTACAATAATATTTTTATGTGTTTTTATGTCTTTTGAGCCTGTCTTGTCAAAGACAAATTTCTGTCATGACAGGCAATAAAGTTTTCTTATCTTATAATGGTAATAATAATTTACTCCTGCATCCTTTGCACTCTGTCATTGCACTATGACACTATTGTCTCAATCTGTCTGTTTTGTTTATAGTGTGTATAAATGTGTTCTCTATACTGTAGCCTGTGTTTGATTTTATTACTGTATTGTATTGTACAATCCAGAGTCAAATTCCTTGTATGTGTACACATACCTGGCAAATAATAAGCTGATTCTAATTAGTTTTAATTCGTTTTTAATGTGGATTTGCGAGTTTAGTTTAGTTTTTAGTAGTTTTAGTAGTAGTTTTAGTCTTTGTCGCAGAATGATGCCAAGCTCAGTTTAGCTCTATCATTCTTTGTTAAATAGGTGAAATACAATAAATGGAGGTTTCTATGAAGATTCTCAGTCATCCAGGTCATAGTTATCCAACGAAGGTTAAAATCAAGGGCAACTGGACTTGGTTGAAGATACTGGAAGACGTTTCATCCCTCATCCAAAGGACTTCTTCAGTTCTGACTGACTGGCAGGGAAACTCAGCTATTAAACCTCAGTGGGGTCGTTGGCCCGGGTCATCGATACCGCTGGTTCGTTAGTGTTCCTTGTTGCTGTGACGACAGTCGTTACAGTCGTTAAGACTACCTGTGGCCAAGACTGAACGACCATCGTTGGTATCTTCACCTGAGGTCAATAGCTTACGTTTGTTGAGTTTCCTGGGAAGTGATGAAAGGACAGCATTGTACTCTAACAGACTCAACAAACTGATCTGCAAGGTCAGTAACATTGTGGGGGTGGAGCTGGACTCTCTGTCGGTGGTGTCAGAGAGGAGGATGCTGTCCAAACTACGTCATCTTGGACATTGTCTCCCACGGTCTCCCACCCACTCCATGACGTGCTGCTCAAACACAGGAGCACCTTCAGTCAAAGACTTTTTCCCCCAAAATGCACCACAGAGCGCCACAGGAAGTCATTCCTGCCTGTGGCCATCAAACTTAATAACTCCTCCCTCTAAGTGCCTGACACAGCGTCCCTTAGTTAGTTTTTAAACTGGACCTCAGTATTATCTATTTTAGTGCAATTTTATCTGTTTAATAATTAACGTGCAATATTCTCTGCTGCTATTTATTCACTAGTCTACTGTAGAAACATGGCGATGTCCATGTAAGGGGGAACTGCAGTTATGTAGATAGAAATGACTCATTCTAAGGTAATAAAAACATATAGGTTCATTATGTAAGATCTTTATACACCACTAAAAACATAGTTACGTATCTTATATATTGTATTTCTGTCAATAAATCCTCAGAAATATTACACACTAGACCTTTTTAAGTTTAATATAAATGTATTTATTTTAGGTTAGTAACTATTTCAGAGACTGTGGGGGCAGGTAATGTGGGGAGTTTACAGTAGCCTAAGTGTTGCGATTCAGTGTTTCAACCACTATTTGAGCACATTTCGTTTCGTTGTTTTATTATGTTTATTTAGAAAAATGTTTGGAAGATTTTTGAGTGTGTTAAATAAATTAATGTGATTTTTGTAGTGAGGAAATGTTCTTAAACGTGAGTTGGAACAACCATTCATTCAGTGCCCCAGTCTTTTAATGTGGAAACGCTGACATACAGCCAAGCTGAAAGAATTGGGCTAATATTTTCATAGATGCCAGAACACATCAAATCAACGCATTAATATAGACTACTCCTGTTTATTTAGGCATTCACACTGTCGCCGATTTTCTGTCTTCCTGCATGTCAACTGCAGCTGTGTTACTTAGACTATGTCTATTTGTCTAATATCACAGTTCACTCTTATGCCAGTAGACTTTTCCATGTCTGTGATTGGTCATCTGCTGCTAACACGGCCTCTTTTACGTGAATGGTTGGATTGGGAAACGCTGGGATGAGTTACCAAGTTCATAATCAGCTTTGTATGACCACTTACCCCTATCCCAATTGTTGGGGTTAGTGAAGCCAGATAACGAAAAGATATCCAGAGTGTGTTGAACTTGCTTAGTGCTACATGTCACTGTTTACTAAAATAGGCTATATGAAGAAAATATAAACAACATTTTATCAGTAGAAAGTCAAACATAAACAAACCTCTAGTTTGGTTGAAGCGCAGCTTTGCAATGTCAATGTTGCCTTTGAAGACCTGCTGTTTATTCAACAACACCTGCGTCTCCCTCTCCCAGTAGTCAGGTTTTCCTGCTGTGACTCTGCTCATCCAGTCCTGTTTAGGTTCTGCTCTCCTGGTGTTACTGTCAAAGTGAATTATCTGAACTTCATCAACCAACCCAACAGCCACAAACTCTGGCAGGTTTTGGACTCCAGAAGACGCAGTGTAGAAATACTTCAAAGAGTGAGTCACTGTAAGAAAAAGTTCATGATTTCATTTCATTCAAACAAGTCCAATATTGTAGTCGAGTAGCTGAGTTTCATTGATAGAAAACAGTTTGTAAAAATAGGCGTCATGTTGTTTTCTAGTGCTGGATATCTCAACATGAAGTGAAACTCCAGTTTAGTTTCAGCTAGTGGAGTCATTTCTTCAGGATGCTTCTTTAGCAGCTTTCTCTCCTCATTATCGTTTAGTTTGAAATCTTAAATCACCTCTGAACGTCTCGGGTTACGTATGTAACCCTGGTTCCCCGAGAAGGGGAACGAGACACTGCGTCGGTTACGACACTATGGGAACGCCTCTAGGCGAAGCAGGTCTGAACGTGAATGAAATCACTCCAATCCTATTGACTTGTTGCTAGAACGGTAAGGTGTGACGGAATAACCGGAGGAGTATAAAGCACACCTGTACACACTCATCATTAGCTTAAACTATGAAGCAGGCGCTTCAGGCGGGGAGAGAGGTGCGGCGGGCCGACGCAGTGTCTCGTTCCCCTTCTCAGGGGAACCAGGGTTACATATGTAACCTGAGATGTTCCCCTTCGAGGGAACTCGAACTGCGTCAGTTACGACACTATGGGAACGAGATACCCACTAAACCGTGCCGAAAACCCCGCCTGCCCCAGTGTGCAGTAAAGCGGCACGACTAAGAGGAGAGCGCACGAGTGCCAGGTGCCGAAGGAAGGTCAAGACTGTAAAACCGAATGAATGTGTGCGGAGTGGCCCAGCCAGCCGCTAAAAAAACATCCTGCAAAGAGGCCCCGGAAAGGAGGTCTCGAGAGGCCGCCATGCCTCTGGTAGAATGAGCTCTCACAGCCACAGGTGAAGGCAAACCGCGCACCTGATAGGCCAGGGAAATAGTCTGAACAATCCAGTTGCTAATAGTATGTTTGGATGCAGGGAGCCCGGCCCTGGGAGACCCAAAACACACTATCAGCTGGTCCGCCTTCCTCCAACGGGAGGACCTCAGAGTGTAAATACTCAGTGCTCTGACAGGGCAGAGCAGATGAAGTCTCCCGTCCTCCGCCGTCACATGAGGTGGAGGATGAAATGCCTGCAGCACTGTGGACCCTGCCGCACAAGAAGGCACTTTAGGGATGTATCCTGGACCAGGGTGCAGGATAGCCCTAATATTCCCCGGGGCAAACTCCAGGCTTTGCGGGGAAACCGAAAGCGCTTGGAGATCCCCCACCCTCCTCAGAGAGTTGATCGCAAGGAGAAAGGCCATCTTGAGGGTCAAGTGCTTAGCCTCAGCTGACTCCAGGGGTTCGAAGGTGGCCTCAGCCAACGCCCCAAGAACCACTGCCAGATCCCAAGTGGGAACCTTGGACCGAGTCGCAGGTCTCATCCTCCGGGCACCACGGAGGAAACGTACAACCAAGGGAAGTTTCCCCAAGGACCCCTCCCTCAGAGGGGTGTGGAAAGACGAAATAGCTGCCACGTACACCTTGAGGGTGGAAGGGGAAAGACCAGCAGAGAACCGGTCCTGGAGGAACTCAAGTACCTGAACCACCGGGCAGGTAACAGGGTCCACCGACCGCTCCCTACACCAAAACGCTCCAATTCAGGCCGTACATCCTCCGTGTGGACGGGGCCCTGGAGCTCAGGAGGGTCTCGAATGCTCCGGCTGTTAGACCCGCCTCTAGGTACTGTGCCCCCTCAGGGGCCAGACCCACAGTCGCCATATGGCGGGGCAAGGGTGAAGAACCCGGCCCTGCGCCTGGGACAGCAGGTCTCTCCTCAGAGGGACCCGCCACGGCGGGCCGTCCAGGAGCGACATGATGTCCGAGAACCACACCCGGGTTGGCCAGAACGGGGCTACGAGCAGTAGGCCGACATTGTCCTGGCGAACCCGCTCCAGAACCCCCGGGAGCAGAGCGACTGGGGGAAAAGCGTACAGACGTAGCCTCGGCCACGAATGTACCATGGTGTCCAGACCCAACAGGGCTGGAGGAACAAGAGAAAACCATAGCAGGCAGTGCGTAGTCTCTTGAGACGCAAACAGATCCCCGTCTATGGGGCCGAACTCTTCCCACGAGAGCTCCACCACTTCGGGGTGAAGTCTCCATTCCCCGGGCCTCAGCCCCTGCCTCGACAGCAGGTCTGCTCCCTGATTCTGCGTCCCCGGGAGATACATCGCCCTGAGCGATAGTAACCTCTGCTGGGACCACAGGAGGATCTGACGCGCCAGTCTGTACAGAGGGCGCGAGCGTGAAAAACCCTTGTTCCTTAGCCACCACTGCAGGGGTCTCATGTGCAGCAGTCCAGATGGTATTACGCTGGACGCAGCCGCCAGGAGACCCAACACTCGTTGAAAGTGTTTTAAGTGTTGGCGTGGCCTAACTTCACCCCTTTCACGGCAGCCAATATGGTGTCGACACGTGCCGGAGACAATTGTGCCCGCATCGTTGTCGAATCCCCTACTACCCCTAGGAACGTAGTCCGTTGGGTGGGCGCCAGCACACTCTTCTTTGCGTTGAGCCTTAGCCCTAAACGCCGCAGATGAGCCAGAACGACATCTCGATGCCGAACCGCCAACTCTCGAGACTGGGCTAGGATGAGCCAGTCGTCGATGTAGTTGAAATCCGGATGCCCTGGAGCCTCAGCGGGGCCAGTGCTGCATTCATACACTTGGTGAATGTGCAAGGGGAAGTGCCAGGCCGAATGGAAGAACCCGATACTGGTAAGCCACACCCCCGAAGGCGAACCTCAGGAACTTCCTGTGAGAAGGACGGATGGAGACGTGGAAATAGGCGTCCTTGGATGACGGTCCTCAGATCGCGTCTCTCAGACGGCTGAGGGTGAGAGCGCCGTCTCGCTGCCCCAGCTCCTCGGGGGGGCCCCCGAGAAGTGACACTCTGCTTCCTCTCCTCTCCGTAGGAGCTCGTAGAGGGAAGGGACCTACGCCTGGCAGCCTCAGCTGCCTTGGGTCCAGACCGGCGAGGGAGGTACTGGCGGAACGCTTCGCCCTGCGTCTAACACTCCGTGGTTCTGCGAAGCTCCGCCAGATCTTCCTCAGAGGGACCCCCCCTCTGAACCATCTCCTGTAGCAGGTCGGCTTGGTAGGCTTGAAGCACCGCCATGGTGTGCAAGCTCGCACCTGCCTGGCCCGCTGCCATGTACGCCTTCCCCACGAGCGTGGATGTGGTGCGACATGGTTTGGATGGTAACGCCGGCTTCTCCAGGGAGGACGCAAGTCGAGGGGAGAGATAGCTCGCAAGCGCATCCTCCACCCGAGGCTCCCATAACCACGGTCCCTAACCCCCATCACCTTACTGTAGTTCAGTGATCGGGGTGTGGAAAGCCATGTAGAGAAGGGTCTGCCCCATGATTACTCAGTTCATCATGTAAATCAGGAAAGAATGGCAGAGACCGGCGTGGAGGTGGCGTGTGGTGCTTAAGAAACCTTTCATCAAGCTACCACTAGCCTGTGGTGTCTGCTCCTTTGGCCAGTTGATGTTGAGCTTAGCCACGGCTCTAGTCACCACCTCCAGCAGCACGTCATAGTCGGGCGCCGCCAGATGACGCCGCCCCGACACCCGGAAGTCATCGTCCACTGCGCTGAGCACGTCCGCCTCCTCGGAGTCGGATTGCTGCAGCGTCTCCGGATCCAAACCGCGAGCGGGAGAAGCCGAGAACGGGCTCCCGAACGAGGAAAGGAAGCATCGGAGCCAGCGGATGAAGGTCGGGAAAAAGCCTCAGCCGTCCCGAAATCCTCCGACAGATCACGCTGTGAACCCCATGAGTGAAGCCGCCGGGCCGCCTCAGCGGCCGCAGGGCCCACGCCACGGGGAGAACACATCCGGCCATCCTCGGAAAAAGAGAGCCATGCTGTACCTCAGTACCCGCACGGAAAGGGCTTCGCAACGGCGCAGGCAGCCCCCTCGAGAGCTGCCCGGGCGTGCTCCATCCCCAAACATGAGACACACATCTCATGAGAATCTCCATCCGTGATGTACCGAGGGCAAGAAAAAACACACCTTCTGTACATCTGGTTGCCGGACATGCTGGTAGACTTCTTCTTCAGGTAAGACACACTGCTTGTAGGACTGGAGCTTTCTTCAAACAACATACAGAGCGCCTGCTGAATAGAAAAAAGCTAATGATGAGTGTGTACAGGTGTGCTTTATACTCCTCCGGTTATTCCGTCACACCTTACCATTCTAGCAACAAGCCAATAGGATTGGAGTGATTTCATTCACGTTCAGACCTGCTCCGCCTAGAGGCGTCCCCATAGTGTCGTAACCGACGCAGTTCGAGTTCCCTCGAAGGGGAACTAAATATACACGCTGCATGTGAGTTTAATTTTATTTTCTATATTAAACAGCTTATTTTCTATTTGATTATATTACATCACTTATGGTTTCTATTTTATACTATAAATTGGGACCAATTCTTCTTCTTTGTTGGTTTGAATTAATAATTTGAACACACTTACAAAGTGGGTGGTTTTGCTGTTAATTTTCATATTCAAGTAACCACTGACTTAATTTTATATCCTGTTGTCAGAGGGTTTGTGGGTTACAAATGTTTGAGTACCAATACTCAAGTAGTAACCAATGACAAAAACATCTGACCCAGTCTCTATGTGTATCTCATTCTGATATCTTATCTATTTATCTAAACTGAAGAAATATCATAGAAAAATGTAAGACACATTTCTATATTAAAGATAAATTAAGCAATATTTTAATTTGTCATGTAGGCCTAGTCATTTAGTCCATCCATCAATCCGTCAACTGCTTATCCTGTGTACAGGGTTGCTGGGTAGTCATTTCGTACAGTTTCTTATTTAAGATCTTTTAAAGTTTTAACAGAGTAAACTGTGTGTGAATTTTCTCAAATAAAATATTGTTTATTTCAGAAACATCCACTGTCCTCTGCTGTCTGAATGCATGTAGATTATATTTCTGTGTTATAGCTGTAGTGTTTCTGTGTCCAATACCTAGTCATTAAGCTGATACTGATATTAATACTTAGAAATTATAATTAATTATAGACATCAAAAATCGAATAGGCCTATATCAGTGGAGTATTGTTTTAAATATATAAACAACATAAACTAGCCTATTTGCTGTTTGTGATCAAAATATATAATGAGCAAAACATTTCAGTTTAAAAATAAACCTGTCAGCGCTCTCTGGTGGACAAACTATGATATACATTAACTGTCTCAAACCCCCAGTTTGTTACCTGTCACTTATCAGCCGACATCTAGCCTAGCTAGACTAGTCCTATCAGCGAAATGATAGCCTATATTTCTGTAATAAACTAATTTCAGCGAAATGTATCAGTGGCTGGCTAGGCTACTAATCAACATGCTTCATACCGTAGGCTGAATATAATAAATAGGCCTGATGTTAATAGCCTAACCATAAAAAAACACATCATCAACTGTCTTGTCAGTGTGGTTAAACATAAAAATCCAAACGTTACTTTCCTAGAATAGCATTTTTATTATCTAAAAGGAAGTCCTGAAACTAAACATCAAAGTAACATAGGCTACATTCAGATGTGCCTACAATATCCCTATGAAGACAGAATTTTTGTTTTACAATCAACCGATTTAAAAGTTTTACCTGCTGCAGCGAAATGTAGGCCTAGACCTATTCCCAGGAGGGCCAGGAAAACCAGGATCTTCATTGTTAGGTTACATATCGCATCAAAAGCTTCGACTTTTGACTAACGATCAATATGTTTATCTCCAGAGAAGCACATAGGATTACAGTTCGTCACCTGTAGGCTATTACGAAGCGAGGTAACTGGTAACTTCTGGCTCTGTGACGTCGGGTGTAACTTCCCGATTAACCCGTTCTACGAAAGGTGGATGGTGGATGTTAACTGAGGTCTGTTGCCTTGGCAGTTTAGGCTGCATAAACTGCTCTGAGCAGCTTATGCTCGTTGTTAACTCGAGGTTACCCTGTAGCTATGCCTGGACTACACATCACATCTGTAGCTTACTCAGTGTTCATGATGAAAAGTAGCCTAGGCTATATTTTTACATTTCATCCCGACCTGTTCCACTGCAGTTGCAGCTGAAATGAAGTTATTAATACAAACAGCATTAGCCTACGTTCATACAGCGAGACCTGCATCCTCGGTGATTTTAGGGAGGAGATCTTAATTAACGGGCCAGTTTTATAGCCCATCTGAATACGTCCAAACCACGATTAAAGTCTCTATTGTTGTGGGCTAAACTCATCTTCCTCACCATTACACAGTACCAATACACGGTGGAGGTGTGTGTGATGTTGCACCTTGCAAAGTGAAGTTTATCTAATAAAGAAATGACTGTAATGTCAGTGAAATGACGACTGGAGTGAAATAAGGAAGGGGCGTTAACACTTTCATCTGACCCAATGGAAATTCAGGCTGTGGTAGCCGAAAACTGCTGAAATAGGAGAAATGTAACACCTCTGTTGATGTTTAAACACCTGATGCTGATTTTATTTTGCTGCAAAGAATGCTTGTAATAGATTATGTTTATCAATTAACAAAATACAAAGTGAGTAACCAGAAGAAAAATCTAGCCTACATCTAATCAATATTTGGTGTGACCACCCTTTGCCTTCAAAGAGCACTGTTCAAGTAAACTGTGTTAATGTGTTTTCTGTACCAAATGATTGCTGCTTTTCAGGTCTGGTTATGATGTCATGCTTCACATCAGTGAGCTGCTTTAAAGCCTCATTGCAGTTCAACGTTTTGACCATATAAAAGTAAAATATATTTAATTAATTTCAGTTGTGTGGTGACAAAATGTGCATATAAAAGGCTTGCTTTAAAGCCATACAGTACAACATGCAGGTGATCCTCAAAGCATCAGATGAAGTCTCAGATCTACAAAAATACAACAAATACATTAAAGAAATAGAAACACTAGTTCAACTAACTAAAACCTTTAGGTCATGAATATCTCTACATATGTAATTGTTACTACTAAATTCAAGAATACTTCTCAACTAAATATTACCCAAAGGACAATAAAAGACAACACTGCTGTCTTCATCTAGCTGTTAAAATGATGTTTTTGTCATTTATTCCTGTTTGCTCATTGTTCATGCACTGTATGTGAAGTGTTCTGCTCATTCATTCATCCATACTGTTGGAATGAAAAGTGAAAATACAAGGAGTGAATGCAGACAAAGTATTACTTTGGTTGTAGGGCTGTTTATTATACCTCTTTTGCCCTTTGCAGTGAAAATAGTTTTATGAACGCATCTGATTTGAGAAGAAACTCTTCAACAACATAGTTTATTAAAATGATAAGCTTTTTTCTTGATGCATAAGAAATAAAGATTGACTCAATAAATGTATTACAATTATCTTAGAAGGTGGAAGAAGATGTATATTTCTCTCTTTGTGCCTGTCTTATTTTGTTCTGCTGTGATCTTTATGTTAATTTTTTCTTGGATCTAAATTACAACTTTATGTAATTCTTTCCTGCTTGTACAGTGTTTTTTATTCAGTTCCCAAGCATTGTCTGCAAAGTAAAGTTCCCAATCTAAAGTGCATGCAGTATGACAGTCACAAAAATACATTGTAGCGCTTGTTGTCAATGTGCCACACCCTTCACTCTGAGAACACCTGTGTGCTGCCATTTTGTGTCTTCCTCTGTTGTTTTGAAATGGACGACACACAAACACTCTCTCTCTCTGACCTGACAGGCACATGAGCATCAATATTTGACTTCTAACACACACACTTTCTTATTCTGAAGGCACTTGGATTGGGTATCTTTTACGTAACACACACATGTTGAGTATACAAGATGCAATGCAATGTGCCTGAATCATTTTTTGATTTTAGGGGCTATTAAATGTTTTATAAATGTAGAAATAAAACCTTCCATATAAGAACATACTTTAATTTTCTGGACCAGACTTCAACTGTGAGCCACACTGAATCTGCCCACAACGGCACTTGATTATCTTTTGTCTCTGAGCAAAATTCTGCTGCTCCTGTTTCTGGTATAAGACCAACAAACTAAACTGGTAGAAACTGCAGCCATCAGTCCTTATCAAGTCTTGTATGATGTTAGAGCTCCATCAGCTGACAGAAACAGCACTTCGCTCTGTGCTTTTTCTTTTAAATCACGTGATGAGCCTGTTAAGTTTCATTTATGTGTTTGTGTTTGACACAGATCTGGCACGAGTTGCATATTTTGGCAGGCCACGGTTATTATCGCTCCTGGGTGAAGCTTCTAGACCTTCTTGTTGTTCCACATTTCTCTGGTGTCAAAGAAAATACTGTCTGCAGAAAAATAATCAAAAATGAACACCAGTAAAGTAACAGATACAGTGTATTTAATTGGGTTTATCTATAAAAGACTGCACAATATTAAACAAAATAAACCATTTGGTGAATATACTGAATAAAATGAGCTGTGCTTATTGTAAAAACGTGCATGATTGTTTTAACAGTAACACATAAAACATGCTGACCAAGTTTTGCTATGATGATATGAAGCTCATGAACTTGATGAGTTAAATTTTAAGAAGGACAAGAATGGGAGAGTCATAAAAAAAGACATGGATAAAAACAAACCTTATGTGTGTTCTCATAGTTTCTGTTTCTCTTGTCCTCATCTGACCTTTATTCTCACTGGCTGGATTCTACTCCTGGAGGCCTGCAGCCTCACATGTTCACTTGCTTCTCACTAATCTCCCATTTCTGGATTAAAGGAGTCACGATGCACACAAAACAGTGGTGCATGGGCTCTGACCAACTGGTGTATAATAAATCTCACTTGCAGGACTTTCTTTTTTGCTGATTAACACAACGAGGAAGCAAAGAAAGGACACATAAAGGTATTGGAACACGTCCAGACCAAGTTATTGCTTGTCATAGGGCGCCATCTACCTGTTGAACTGAATAACTTCTCAACACAGTTTTAACTATGTCAAGCTGTATTTGTTTTCAGGTCCTGGTTTAAGGATTTGTCTTTTATTTTACAGTCAACTTTATTTTCAAGTATAACTTTACTTATGAGGTCACTAAACCTTGGTAATAAATTTGTGTGTGTATCTGTTATTTTGAAATAATGACCGGAACTTGACTTGACGCACTCGCCTATCTGAAAGTGAAAGTAAAATGAAACTGGAGTTGAAGGGGAAACCCATCGAGCCAAACTGATTTTAGTTCGTGGGATAGCAACGAAGAGCTTCACTGGACTGCAAACAGAAGACATCATGACTGACTTCTCTAACGTTACAATCTACAAACTGTCCCTGGTTGCAGTTTTCTGCTTCATCCAAGGTAACGTTGAGCTAATAGTATATCTGTCGATTGTCTTTTAAATAATTGACGATATTTCTGCTCTGCTGCGTCGTTGCCCTGGTGAAATACACGAAATAGGGGGTACAACGTTTATGCATGTAGTATCTGTAGCGTGTTTCCGGATGTAATAACGTTGACTTCAAACCAACTTCCGTGACAAAATCGCCACAGTTACTGTTAAAATGCATATCATTAACAGCATCAAATTTAGAGAATAAAGACATTTTGTTTATATCTGAGTCGTTAATAATCTAAATATAGCAGAACAGCTGTCCACTATAATTTAACAATGGAGGATCACTGTGCATAACGACATCGACTTTAACTTTAAACGTCAGGCTTTTAACATAGTAATGTGTTATTCTTCTTGAAAAATGTATGCCGAATTTAGCACAAGATCCAGTCACGTAATAAAACGGCTATAGTAAGTTTCTTGTCTTCATATACTTCTGACTTTAACACAGATTACGTTAAATTGTAGGATTTCTAAAGGGAGTTTGGTGTGAAGCATTCAGTGGAGTCATACACTAATACAAATAAGACAACTAAAGTCCATACAGCATAAAATACAGAGAGTAAAAACAAAAGGGAAAATCAGTCCCTTCAGTCAAAATCAGTCAAGTCATTTTTATTAGAAAAATGGAGACTGCATATTTTGTCCGAACAGCAACATGAAAAAGCAGGAGATTAAACTGAAAGCAAGATCCTCTAGGGGTGGAAACAGTCAACCACAATTTATTAGATTCCCCAAACAGATTCACTGTTTTATTTTCACTTTTAACTTTCAGGCTTTGACTCCTGCAAGGCCGGTAGCATGTTACACTTACAAAATATATTTTATTCCTTTGACAGTTCTTCTGCAACATGTCTTCTTTAATGTGACTATAGTAGACTCATTCTCTAACAGGTTTTAAAGGATACCAGACACAGTTAGTAGCTCAATTATGGTGTGTTGGTAAATATTAGGGGAATGTTTGAGTGTTTCCACTGGAGAATACAAATTCCTGTGGACTATAATATCAGAATATAGTGTAATTGTGTTGTTATTCTCATGTTTCACATATTTATATTTATTGTCTAAAGCCTGCAGCAGCAGCTGTCCAGTGTTGGAGTGCTGGTTTGTGCAGGAGAAGGCGGGTCGAGGAGGAGGTTTAACTGCAGCAACAACCCAGGAGAAATCCCTGCTCCACATCAGAACGGATGCACACAGCCACAGTGCAGAGTCCCAACAGACTCCATCCGACATCAACCCTGACAGAGTCTACTTCATTACCGGTTAGTTCAAGATGACTCTGAACAGGATGTGTAACCGCATATTTATCTAGGTGTGTGAGTGTGTATTGTGCTGTCTGCTGTTCATCGTGTGTAGATAGAGTTAGTGTTGCAAATTACATTTCAAGGTTAAGCTTTATTTATGAGATGCAGTTGTTGCCTTCTTCAAGCTACACTCACAACATGTATAAATAGATATTCAAATTAGAATAGAATTAAACAATAAAATAGGCAAAACATTGTATACTGCATAAAAACTGCACTAAAATAAAAAGGAAAACAAAATTATATTTACAAGGGAGATTTACAAATATGTATGTACATTTATGTATTGTGTGTGTATATATATTTATAGCCTACATATGCACATAAACACAGGACATTTCAATATTTGTAATATCAGTGTAATATCATTTTGTAATATACATATTTTTTTCTGAGAAGGGCTATCATTCTGTTTTTTAAAACTCTGTAAACCTACAGAGTAAAGGTCCCTTCAGTCGGACACGAAGCTTCCTCTGTGCAAAGGAAATGGCGAGCATTGAATTATATACTCCACACAAATGCAGCGAGCATGTGTTCTCTAGCCTGAAAATTAGACTGAATAACCATTTTGTTTCACTTAATTATTTGAGGTGCTGAAAGAGACTTGAGCAGCGATTCAGATATCTAGATCCAGGCTTTTTATTCTCTTATCACTTCACAAAACTGCCATATTGCACATATTCTATTTATACTGTTCTCTTAAAATAATGGATGCTGTGTCAATTTTATATTTTTATATTTATATATTTTAAGTTTATTGTTATGCACCAACTCACCAAAGCAAGTTCCTTGTAGGTGTAAACCTACTTTCTTTGTTTAATATTGCATCAATAATATTCCAGACATAAACTTCAGTTTGTCAGCTACGGGTTCCATAATTGATTAGGTATTTATTAGAAACGAATGTATTAAAAGAGGGAAAAAAGTATCGTGATTTAAATTTCCTTTTGAAGCAGGCGTAATATTTATCTCTACCTTGTCTCCCTTTTTAGATCAAGCTACCTTTCTCAAAGTGAGCATCTGTGATATGTTTATATAAAAACAGTGTGTGCATGTGACCGACTCCTCTTTCCTCAGACCCAGCTGGCACTCTCTGCCACCGCTCTCTGAACCCTCCCAAAGGCTCTGTCAAGAAGCCCCAGTGTGAGGTCAACCCCTTCCTGCCGCAGCCCTCCACTCTGAAATGGGTTGCTCCGCTCACAGACTCCGCCTTCAGCCCCAAATACCTGCAAGCTGATTGGTTTTCAACTGCCCTTCGTGGGCTCAACGAACAGATGACCATTTCCAATATCATGCGTGCTCCCACAGCGTCCAAAGAGCAGGACGGTAATGATGATTGTCACTGAGGGTGACCAACCACATGGCTGCATACATTTAGAGATTTAGTTTTATCCATGAATCTATAGTTAAGATGGACAGAAATTGAAAATGTTTCTGTTATCTCAGTCAGATGTGGTAGTTTGACTCTCTCCTCTTCTCCACTGTTTCCTCAGTGATTCTGAGTGTAACCAGTAAAACGGTCTCAGTGCAGTCCAGACTCGGGGAACCCGTGCTGCTGGACTGCGGCTTCTGGGCCGACCCCTCCTCGCCTCTATCCGGGTCGGGTTTTGCAGTAGAGTGGCGCTACCAGTTCAGAGGCGACGGACGACTGGTTCTGGCTTACGACGGCAAGACGGACCGCTTGGCTGATACACAAGAGGAAGGGGCCGCGCTGGACTTTGAGGCTTTGCACAAGAATGGAAATGCATCCCTGATCCTGCAGGAGGCGAAAGTGCGTCACTCTGGGATGTATATTTGCTCAGTGTATCTTCCGTACCTTGTATCTCAGGTGGCGGTGGAGCTTGAGATTGTAGGTGAGGAAAAAATATTGTACCTTTAGATGTGTAATAAAAGACAAACCTGTAATTTACTAAACCCTATATGCTTAAAGGTACATTGTTCTTTATGTGAAGCATTACTTAAGTCTGGAGAAGATGTATATAGCGCATATTGTTTAGGATCTGCTGTCACACAACACTGAAACACAACACACTGCAAACAAATTATTCTGTTACAAAAATTAAGAGCACATTATTCTTATTATTGTTATTTTGAACTTTCTTCTTCTTTTTTGCTCCTCTACTCTTTTCCTCTTCTCCCCAGAACCTCCATCCCTCTCCATCTACCCCTCCCCTCTACCCCTCGCTGTTCCCGGCCAGACTTTGACCGTCCAGTGTGAGGCGTCCGGCTTTGCCCCCCTTTCCCTGGAACTGAGCTGGGAGTTTAAAGGCGCCGATGGGAAGTCCAGGCCTCTGGGCTCAAGCAGCGTAACGGGCCACAGGCAGGCCTGGGATGGAACCTATAGCCAGAGCTCCCGGCTGGAGATTGACACGACTAACCTGGACCTGGGCAGAGGAGGGGAGGTCACCTGTGTGGCTGTCCATCTTGGAGGCACACGACGGGCCAGCGTGACCCTCAATGTCATTGGTAATATGGAAGAATGTTGTTTATTTAAGACATTTATCAAGCAAGAACTTTTTTAGTCCATAATAGAGGACTTTTTGCGCTCTTGCCAAATTAATGAGAGAAATGGGAACACACTATAAAACTGATAGTGTGATATGAGACCTTATTGTATTATTATTATGTATTGTTTTTAAATTATTTGTGGGATTTGCTGATTATGATAACATGTAGCCTGCAGACTGTATTTTACTAGTTTTAAAGGCTGCATTACAGTTAAGTGATGTTGTTTCTACCTGTCTATATCCAACTAATAGGTCATATCACTCACCCCTGGATCTGATTACATATGATACATAAAATACGTGTGAGAAAGCACCAGCAGTCAAACAAATATCAATCCATCATCATGATTTTGACATATGCTGTAGTAGAGTGACTGGTTTTCATTGAGCTATATTATGGTCATTTTTATGCTATGGGGCAGTAAAAACATACTCATGTCAATGTCAAAGCTCATCCAGGTTAAATAAATAATCTTCTTGAATTATGTCTTTTGTCTTTTCAGGGTTCAGTGCTCCCTCCATTGAAGACTCAATGGCGATGGTTGGTGTAGCGCTAGTGCTCTACGGTCTTATCAAGTTCGCCTCTTGGACCTTCACCAGCTCAGGTAGCAAATAATCCAGAAACAATAACCAGAAAAACACCTTGCACACCATTTATTCACCCATTTAATCATTTCAAGCTGCAAGAAGGTTTGATACTATCTCACCATTTGGATATAATATGATGAAACATGCATACATTTAAATAAAGTTTAAAAATTTGTATGGGATGGGGATATTTCAATAAAAAATTTATTTATTTAGCACCTATTCAGAACAGCAGTTATCTCATTTCACTTTTCATAGAGCAGGTCTAATCCATACTCTTTGTATTCCCACTCAAAACTATTTAAAGAAGATACAGTAAGATACTTACATTCAATTTCTGAATCTGACTTATTGTCTTTTATTTCACTGTACGTAGGCTCCAACGAGGCTGATAAACAGGACAAGGTAATGTTACTTTTTCAAATACTAATACATTATAAGTACAGTATATTTCTGAATATCTTTACGTTTACATTGGGTGTTTTGTCTCCTGTTAATAACAACTTTCCTCCTCTTCCACTTGTAGAAAGACAAATAAAGAAGAGCAAAGTCAACCGCTCTGGAAGTGTTATACTGAACCACCAAACCTGGGATGTCTTGGATCAGGTTTCAGGAGTGACTGTCCACCTGTTCAAGGAGACAGTTAATGTCTTTTTTTATTACTAGCATAGTGGTAAATCTGTTTAAACTTTTACCCTTGGAGTAATTTTTTTCACAGATTCAGAGAGAAGCTTGCTTGTGTCAGTTGTGTTGTCACTACCTTGCACAAATATTGGGGAATGCATTTAATGTTGTGCTATAGTGAGAAGTTTCTGCTCACTCTTAATGTGTGTGATATTTCTTTAATCTTCCCCTTTAAAGCGATACAACTGTATTATCATATTGGCCTCCCACTGTTTACATACTGTATCTTGTCAAAGACACTGGAAAAGGGCCTGAAACTTTTGTTGAAATGATAATGTGTTGAAATATCTGCTTTAATTTGGACACGTTAATGCTTCCATATGATGCCCCGCTGTTTAAAACATTTATCTTTGAGGGATCGGAGGTGAGACCGTATGTGTGTGTTTAAGAGAAAGAACTAAAACATATTTTGTAAATTAACCAGGAGAGTAACATTAATATCAGACCAAACAGTCTCTCAAACTTAAACATATTTTTGTAAATACCTAGAATATAATGTATGTATATTGTGCCTTTTTTATTATATGTGTGTTTTTGCATTGGTGCAACTACTTTTATCACCTGTTGATAGAAATTATGCAAAATTAAACTTACATAAAAATATGAAGGAAATGGTACAAACACAGAAATTTAATAATCAAAATGGAAGTCTGCATTTTAAGTGAAATAAACACAAGTCTCCAAACATGCTGGTGTGCCGCATTGTTTAAAAATAACCTGAAACTGCTCAAATGTTCTTGTATGATAGGATAATAGGGAAAAGGTGTCAGAGTTAAACAGAGTTTAATAGCTGTGATGTTTTTCATTTGATGCTGTTGAGTCAGCAGAGATGACTAGTTTCTAAATAAAACCTTTCATAATGACCAGACTGCAAAAGTCTGAGTGTAATAAAATACAAGACACATGTAAATATACTGGGATTGTCAAACCAAGTAAAAGGTAAGCTAGCATTATGACAAACACAAATGTGACTTCTGTCCTTTTCAGAATAAAACTCAAATGTTGCACACTTCTGTTTTGGAGTAGAATTAATACCCGTCTGAAAATATGTTAGGTCCTGAATAGACAGATATAAACAAAATCATTAAATGTAATTTGGTAGTACAGCAATTTTGATTTTAGATTTCTACAGAATCCCTGAATGTTAGGGTGGGGTCGTGTTCAAGACTCTCAGCAGTGCAGCTTGCAGAGCCAGGCGCGTTCACTTTCACCAGGCGTCTTTAGGGCGCCGCTGTCCGAGGTTCTGACCTGTAGGCTACTTTTTGGTTTTTTTGGTAATTGCTATTACCTGACTGATGGCATGGTAAACAGCTGAAAGTATTCAAATGTAGCGTACACTTCAATCCTTTAATCAGTTTATCCAAAACATCAAATGTTTTGAACCTTAAATATGAGGATTTGTTGTTTTTCTGTTTTACATCATTATAAATTGAATATTTTTGGGTTTTGTCCTGTTGTTCAGGCAAACAAACATGTTTCTTTAGTCTCTGATGGACATTGTTCACAATTTCCTCTCAATTTATAGACTAAACAATATATAAATTGTAAAAATAACAGACATATTCCTCGATAATGTAAAGAATCCTTAGTTTCAGCCCTACAGTGAACTATTCACATGACCATGTTTGAGATGTGAAAAATGTTTTTGGAGGTCTGCATTCACACTGCAACTGCAAGCTTTTTCCTACAAATGCCTTTTTATTTCTTGTAAATGTTTCACAGTCACTTGGATCCAAATTATCCCACAGGAATTAAAAAAAAATACTAGCAAACAACAAAGCACACACAGACATAAACACAGCTTTGAGGATTAAATACTAATCAGTTTGATTTGAATACTACAGCGGCTCAGAGTGTGAACATTGTGCACTTCTTCACATCAATCACAACTGCAAAGTGGTGTCTTCCCCTTTTCTTTCAAAAGTAAAAGCACTCAGTTATTTTTGAAAATGGTTCAATCCTTAATAATTATCCTTAATAATTAAAATGGTAAATTGATTTGGTGTGATGTCAAATATACACGAGCATCAGAAGCTGAGCTGTGAAACTGAACATTTCTGGGCACCAAGAGGCAGAAGAACGCTGGATGTTGAAGTAATCCTAATACATTTATAGTCATTGGTGTTTGGAGTAAGTCTTTTTTAGTCTTAAATATCAGGTACTCAGCGTTCCTTGACCTGACCTTCTGGGCGTCTGCAGTGTGTGATCCTCCTCATGACGTTGGCTGACGTCTGAGAAAAATCCTGCCACTGCTGCTGTTGAATTAAAACTGTTGAATTAAAACTGTGAACATGTATCTGACTAAAATCTGGTCAGGAATTCAATTAATCAGAGCTTTGTCCTGATTAACAATTTTGCAATTACTGATATAAAATATGTTCAATTGTATGCAGGTTGTGCAACAACACAAAATTAAGAAACTTGTTAAATCTCACTTTTAAACACATTTAGTTTTGTGCTTTCTGAATAAAATAAGTTACAATTAAAGTGAGAAAACAATGACCTGATGAGGATCTCTCACACAGTCTTACAAAGGATGTGACAAAATCATTAAAACACCTGCTGATCAATTTACTTGGAGTATGTGCCTCACTGAGAGAAAAAAATACTGACAGTGTCGTCCCACCGACTTTCCAAATTCACATTTATCTCTGAGAGCGGATCTTGAAAGCTGACAAAAGATGGCAAAAGCAATGAGTGCAAATAAAAATATATAACACTGATTAAAAGAAATTAACACTGATAATGGTTTGATTTCATATTTAAGTTTCAAGGTTACAGGTCTGGTTTCCCCAAAACAATCTAAGTCGCAGTTTTCTAACATGTGACATTCTTTGACTTCACCCTTGTTTAAATGCTTTAACCCTTGAATAACATCCAAAGTTATTTGGATGTTATTCCAGGTTGTCTTGCTAACTCTGCACTGTATCATCATATGATCAGGAAGAAGCACATCATTTTTTCAATGAATGTAAAATACTGTTTCTCATGAAGGTAATGTCACATCAATATGGAAACATTTAGAAGCTAGGTTGTGAGTATAAATGCAATATTACATTTTAAATCAGGGATTTAAACATTTAGTACATTTGTTCAATGTGGAATTAACTTTAAAGTCTGAAGCCACCACAATTACTTTGAATATTCCAGAGTAACTGATTTTACTTTGCAGGAAATAGTAAATAGTCTTATTACGTCGTAACGTCTTGTTACGTGATGAAAGTGAAGTTTAAATGCTTCTGATTTGTGCATTTGCTACAAGACAAGTGTAATGAAATGATTTTAGGAAGCTACTCTTAGTTAAACCGGCCTACGTGGTGTCAAAATAAACTGTAAAACATGGCACATTAATTTGGTCACGTGATTTTGTTTCCTGTTTCTCGTCCCCTTCTCTGCTTACATTCAACTTTTATTCTTCTTGCCATGGATTCTATCCCTCCATTAACCAATTCAGACCCTCATGCTTCTCTAACCAGCCTTCCTCATCCGTTCTGTTACATTCCTTCATTTCATCATCACTTATTTTTACTTTTTTTGAGACTTTTTTGTTGTTGATTTTTCACTTCTTCTCTTTTTTCAGCTCATGTTATGTTTTTAGGCATCCTCTTCCACTTCTTCCTCAAACTCCCCCTCTTCCTCGGCCGTGGCGTCCTGGTACTGCTGGTACTCGGACACCAGGTCGTTCATGTTGCTCTCTGCCTCCGTGAACTCCATCTCGTCCATGCCCTCGCCGGTGTACCAGTGGAGGAAGGCCTTGCGGCGGAACATGGCGGTGAACTGCTCAGAGATGCGTTTGAACAGCTCCTGGATGGCTGTGCTGTTGCCGATGAAGGTGACAGCCATCTTGAGGCCACGTGGCGGGATGTCACACACGGCTGTCTTGACGTTGTTGGGGATCCACTCCACAAAGTAGCTGCTGTTCTTGTTCTGGACATTCAGCATCTGCTCATCCACCTCCTTCATGGACATGCGGCCACGGAACACGGCAGCCACCGTCAGGTAGCGTCCGTGGCGAGGGTCGCAAGCCGCCATCATGTTTTTGGCATCAAACACCTGCTGGGTGAGCTCGGGCACGGTCAGGGCGCGGTACTGCTGACTCCCCCTGCTGGTCAGAGGAGCAAAGCCGGGCATGAAGAAGTGCAGACGAGGGAAGGGAACCATGTTGACAGCTAGTTTCCTCAGATCAGCGTTGAGCTGGCCGGGGAAACGCAGGCAGGTGGTCACGCCGCTCATGGTGGCTGAAACCAGGTGGTTGAGGTCGCCGTAGGTGGGTGTTGTGAGTTTGAGAGTGCGGAAGCAAATGTCATAAAGGGCTTCATTGTCAATGCAGTAGGTCTCATCTGTGTTTTCTACCAGCTGGTGGACTGACAGCGTGGCGTTGTATGGCTCAACCACCGTGTCTGATACCTGAAGAGACAAATGATGCCAATAGATTACTTAAACTACAACTGACAACTATTTTACTTATTCATAAATTAAGTGAAACTGCATGCGTCTCTGGAAACGACCAGTAGAATCAGGGTCACCACTGTGGAGTTTCTGGGATTAAAAAGGCCGGTATCCTGTCTTTTGGCCGGAGCTCTGTGCGAGTGTTTATTCACACACATATCAACAATAAACTTCTTAGGCGGCCAAGAATACACTGTGAACAGTGTGATAATAACTACATAATACATGTTTATCTCCCTTTACCAAACAAGATGGATTTAGCCCGCTGCAGAATGAAGTTTTATGACTTTCTGAATTGTGCTGCAAGCTCTTCCCACACTGGCACGATGCTACACTGTATTCCCACTTCATTACTACTAGATCTTTTTCACAGATGTTTGCTTTTGTTGGACAAATAAACAATATGTAGGTCAACAAAACTTACTTAGTGTCAAATTAGCATATATTTTAATATTAAATCAATTTTGATAGTGGGAAATAAATGTAGGATAATGTCTAATAAGCACAAAAAAATTCAATATTTGATGTGTTACCTTAGGAGAGGGCACCACACTGAAGGTATTCATGATGCGGTCAGGGTACTCCTCCCTGATCTTGCTGATGAGCAGGGTGCCCATGCCGGAGCCGGTGCCTCCTCCCAGAGAGTGCGTGAGCTGGAAACCCTGCAGACACTCACAGCTTTCAGCCTCTTTTCTCACCACATCCAGCACCGAATCCACCAGCTCGGCCCCCTCCGTGTAGTGACCTTTGGCCCAGTTGTTTCCTGCTCCGCTTTGTCCTGGGGAATAAAAAAAAAAGAGAAGCTAGCGTCACTTCTTTCCTGCCAGCCACCCAGCAACCATCTTAAAACTTTAAAACTTGAATCAGAGTTTTAAAAAAAACATTTTGATTATAATTTGAGATAAAAATAAAGAAAACTAAACGAAACTGTTTTAAAGCATCCTACAACTAGGTCAAAGTCAATGAGTACACTGAGGACCCATATGGTTTCATACAGGGATTTTGTGGCAGGAGTGAGTTTGTCAGCTGAGCTATACATGTATTTGTCAAATGAACAGGATGTGACTAAAAAAGGGACAAAGGCCTTCAATTACAGTCCAAATCCCCGTGGCATCAGGCTTCTAAGTGCAAGATGTTAAACTTAATAAGCTGTTTTTTTAGTATCCCACCCTGACCTCTGACCTCCTGTGGAAACAAAGGCCACACTAAAGATTCAAACTCTTCTCCAGTAGGTTGAGTTCTTACCAAAGACAAAGTTGTCAGGTCTGAAGATTTGTCCAAAGGGTCCAGAGCGGACCGAGTCCATGGTTCCTGGTTCCAGGTCAACTAGGATGGCTCTGGGCACATACTTCCCACCTGCACACACACACACACACACACACAGAAAAAAGAACATGTCAGCTCTACGCTAAACCACGAAGAAGGTTTTACAACAAAAACCAAACTAAGTTTAAACTGACAGACAAATTTAGAGAAAGGGTGTTATTTTACATACATGTGTAATACTGAAAACTGTTAGAAGCTGGGATGTAGTATCGCTCTGCTCTGACGCCATAATGTAGGCTGCATTGTCCACATCACGTTCATCAACCAATATTCGACTGGAGTTTCTGACATATTTTTTTACTTATCAGATTATTTACAGGCAGAAATGCTGTGAACGTCTCATTCAGTTGCTGCTGGAAATTATGAGTGTTGAATGTTGAAAAGAAATGAACCACATGTGCTTCAGTACATTAGAGTGAAATGCTCACTGTACAGAATCAGAGCAGGTGTACTTAATTTGGCCACTAGGTGGCGAGAAACACTTTAAAACCGCAGGAAGTAGCCGCCCAATTAAAGCTTTGTGGTGTAAAAATAAGGTAAGATGACTGTATTGTTGCCAAATTGATGCAGACACATTGCATTTTTTCAGATAATTTAATACGCTACTTGTGAACTTTTATTTAACTAATAGTCAGGTTTTATGTAGTTGTTCCACTTCTGAGTAAATCTGACAACGTTTAGGCTGCTCATACTTTAGACTGTTGGGTTAAATTAGCTGAAAAAAAACCCAGTGTCATGTACATGTAAACTGTTTTAGTGTCACAGTGCAGTGATATATGTAGAGCAGTATATTTAACGATATAGATTGTCAACAAATGTTTTTCTGTTCTATGTTAGTGGCTCTTTATTATTATGGCAGCATAGCCCTGATAATGAATGATTTCTCAGCCTCATTTCATCAAAGACAGACCTCAGTGTGAATCAGGATGTACTTACCAGTGGCTGCGTTGTAATACACACTGATCCTGTCCAGCTGCAGGTCACTGTCTCCATGGTAGGTTCCTGTTGGGTCGATGCCGTGCTCATCGCTGATCACCTCCCAGAACTAAACACACAAACGTGCAGGCCAACAAATCATCAGTAAAAGAAGCCAGGTACTGAAATGAAAGTAGTTATTGCTATGAACATGTTTGCACACAAATAAATCTCAATCTATTAGTGACACTCAACAACTGTTAGATAGATTAGATAAATTTAATTTGACTAAAATTGACAGATATTTTTACATCGTAATTTAAGCTTAAAATCTGAAACATTTATTTGCAGCTTTAGTAAGACATTTATTCAGTCAAAGTTCTTGAAATATTCCTTAAAAAGAGGTGTCTTTGTTTATTGATTAAGGCCATAACTGCAAGCTAATTTACTAAAAGGAAAGAAGAGAGTGGTGTACAATGACTCTTCTGTCTTCTTCTCAGGGACACGCTGGTTAACTTTCACGGTCACAAGATAACCTTAAAAAAGCAACATGTTCCTTGAATCTGGTTAAAGAAGGTTTTCTGCAGTAAACAGTCACTTTGCAGTGAACTACAATCTTTCATTCAGCATTATCATGCTGGGTACAAATGTTCTCTTTGTATCATGTGTGTCGTGTAAATGTACAAGCTTGCAGCGGCCTGTCTCAAATCCAGCTTTTTCTTTCTGACCCAAAGGCTGTTTGAAACCAGAAGGGACTGTAGCTTTGATCCACAGCTTATATGAGAGCAACAAATCTCCTGCTAGATTTACAAATTAACCATATAGATTTAGAAAAAGTGTAACTTTTTCTAAATGTATTTATATTAGTACAAAATACATTAATCTCAGAAAGATAAGGGATGCTTTGTTCCACATTTAGCTACCAGCTAATTTCCTTCTGGTGTCTTTGGGCAGGTAAAAGGAAACAATAAATGTCACACAGCCCTGATCATATTAAAGTCGCCCTTGTGCTCTTTGGGAAATGACTAGCAAAAAAAAAAAAAAAAGGTTTGAGTACAGGACGTGACAACAAAAGGAGGAAGTACTGGGGGCAGAATGGGGAAAATAAACAGGAATAATAGTGTCACAAAGGAAGAAAGACTTCCTAAAGCTCCAAGAAACAACCATTATGGATTAATAGCAGTTAACTTCTCAATTCACAGATTTATAATTTGGTATAAAAATATTGGAAAACACAGACAAATACCCATTACAAACTTTCAAAGCCCAGGTGACAGTTAGTCCAACTAGCAATCCAAAACCCAAATATATTCCACAAATGTTTTGGCATTCCTGCTTAATTACTCAAATTATAATACCAATGCTGATTTATTTTCTGTCAAACGACTAATCGATTAATGGACTACTTGTTTCATCTCTACAGCGTGCACAAAGCAAAACATTTTAACTTTGTTTTTGAAAACTATGCAGCATAAAAAGCTAAAAAACATTAATGTGAAATGACTGAAAGTAAGTTCTGTTTTGCACTAAAAATCTCAGATAGTTAAACTCTCAAATCATGTAACATGCTGTCAGTTAAGTTCAAACATGTCATATTATCTAACCCGCCCAGTCCTGAGGGGTTTTATAGCAAAGGAACAAAAATGGAAAGAGAACCAGCTTTCTCTGGATGCCCTCACTGCTGCTTCAGAGACATTAAATTAACTTTCTGCTGGTCTCATGTGTTCAGAAAAGTCCCCCAGAAAATCATTTTTAGCAAACAGAGATAATCTGTTTTTTTTAATTAAAGGGTCACAAGGTGTTCTTATCTTCAATGTGACTTTATGAGTTTAGCTGTTTGGTTTTTCCAGTTGATTTAGAGAAGAACACACATAAATACAAACGTTGGTCACATCGCTGCCTCTATAACTCGTAAGCACTTGTTTTATTCACAGTGGGAGGGTCAGTAGGAGCGGGGCTTTCTCAGAGGATTCAGACGGCCTCGTTTCTACAGGCTGAGACATTAACGCCAAACTCGGTTAAGATGCGAGCACAGACTGTCACACCAGCTCAGTCAACTGACCCTAATCTAAGCCACGGACTGCGTGAGTGTGTGTGTTTAAGAGAAAGAGGGGGAGATTTTTAATCTTCGTTACTGTCACATCATCACCATAATTGGCTGTCCTTGAATTCACCCCCATGTGATCTCCATGGTAACAAGTTGATAAATTCAGTCAAGCAGTTTTGAAGAAACATCTTAATTTACAGTATTTCATAAAACTGGGCTAAAAGCTACAAGAATACTGAACAATGACTTCATGTACAAAATTAATCACTTGCATTTACACAATTGGGCTAAATATATATATATATATATATATATATATATATATATATATATATATATCAAAACTAATAATGAACAATAAATGGGTGAGAGTCACCACACCGTGAAGTGAGCGAGTCCTGAAACCTGTCTGTGGAGATCTAACCTTTGACTGGACCTGAAGTTATGCAGCAACATGCTGCAGATTAAGGTTGGAACTAGATCGGGTGAGTGAGTGAATTCAGGCAGAGTTAATCCATCGTGAAATGAGGATGACCTCAGTCTTACTAAGTCCTCTGTAAATACACTTGTCTTCACCGATCAGGGGCCATTGAACCGTGGAGTCAGAAACCCCCATATGTTGCTGCCACGCCTCTTGTTGTCCCACCACCACCAAAATGTCAAACGATAGTGAAAATCACCCATCAAAAATTCCATGCGCCTAAAGATAAGTCTTCAAATAGCCTGTTTTGCCTAACTAACAGTTCTCTGCCTATGTTTCAACTATATTGATTATCAAATATGACCACAAAAATCATCAAATATATATCATATATCAAACACACCTGAAAAGCTGAAAGAAGCAAAGGTTTGGCATTTTTGCAAAAACTTAACTGAAACTGAAATCAGAATAGTTTCTTTTGACAGACCAATCGATGAATCGTTGCAGCTCTATCTGACTGACCGTGGCTTTCTGGGAACTGAAGTGTAGAGACACCACAGGATATTTAAAGCAAAAATGCTGATAAAATAGAAAAACACTTATGTGGGAGATAATCCCTTTATGTTTATGTGTAAACACGCTTTCTGGGTCACTGGTTCTTCGGGGCCCCGCGGCGTATGCATGTGATACACTGACTGGAAGAGCAGCTATTTAAATGACCTCATCTGTGCGTTCAGAGCAGACACTGAGCCCCTTGTTATCTTCCCCCTCCTTCACCCTCCTCCCGCTGCGTTCCTCCCCTCTGCCTCAGCAAATTTCTCCTTTCTTTTCACCCTCTTCTCTTGTTTTTTCCTCCTCTCTCTTTTCTCAGCGACAAAAGAGTCCAACTCACCAGGCGGCCAAGACAGCAGCTGGCCCCGTCTGCTCAAGTCTGGCCTGCTTCATTAATCACGGATCAATGACTTCAGTCACTGTTTTGTCAACAGTTCCAAGTGTGTGAATTGTTACTGCAAGAATTGTTTATGCAGAATGTGTGTTGGGCTTCTAGTGTATTTTCTGGGTCGACCTTACTGTACTTTGTGCTGCTTTCATGACTCATCCCGTCACTGAGATACTTCAACAGTGATTTATTGTTTCTGTCTGGTATTTTGTATCCACCCTTACAATAGGAGTCAAAATATTATCTACCTAAGCTGAATTATCAGTGTGTAAATATCTTATATGTTTCTTGTGGTTATTGTTGTGGTCTGTCACCTTTTTTATGCTGCTGTCTTTGCCAGGTCGCCCTTGTATAAGAGGTCATTGATCTTATCGGGTTTTACCTGGTTAAATATGGGTTAAATAAATAAATGTGACTGTGTTTAATGTTATTTCTTAGTTTTACTTCTAGATGTGTGCAGTAGCCTTGTAAAATGTATTAGTGTACAACATTTATATATTTTCTTTGGACAAACCTGCACTGAACACAGAATTTATTTGGTGCTAATGAGAGAAAAATAAACAATTTAAATTGCGTATTTAAAGAGAATAGAGGCTGTGAGGCTCTCTTGTGGTGAACAACAGTACACCATGGATCATTTACTTTGTCTGAAACTCAAAACATTTGACATTTTAGACAAGTAATGAAATTTAAAATCTCACTAATGAAAGATGAACAGATTAATTGGTTATCTGATTATTTTAAAGAGAAGGCTACAAACAATAGAGCTGCAGGATTTCTGGTCCTGTTATATATTTATATGCAAGAATCATGTTGATTTTATATTTACAATTTAAAAAACTGTCAAAACATACAACAAAAGAAAAGTTTAATAACAAGCAAACTGCAAATTAACAACTGAAAGGAGTTAATTTGTTCTCACTACTTCTTCTTACCTTTGCACCAATCTGGTTCCCGCACTGGCCGGCCTGGATGTGCACGATTTCCCTCATGATGGACGGTAGTTAGTGGTGAAAGTAAAGTGTAGCAGAGATGAAGAGATGCTGTTGACCCACTGACTGAACACAGACAGACAGACAGGCTGAAGGCTGCGCTCGGTCTTACAGGCGGGGCTAAAGTTTTGGGACGCGGCCATGACACCGTTCACGCTAATGATTGGCTAATGACGCTGTAGTCATGCAGCTGATTGGCTGATGGGATTTCTAAAGGGGTTTCCCTGCCTCAAAGGCAAGGACCGGAAGAGGAAAGGGAGTGCCGGGTTTTGTCATCACTGCCCCGTTGGAGCTCCACATGAGACAATACAGAATATGAGATGATAGAAATGAACAGAAGAGGCAGGACATCTTCTGTTAACACTTTATAATGAGACAGTAAAATTACTTCTTTAATGTGTGGAGCAAAAATGGAGATAGAATAGAAGTAGCTTATTGTGTTGACATAATTCAGGTAAAGAAGGCTTAATAATCACATTTTGAAGAGTGTTTACCCTAAATCTAAATACAAGATAATCTTGAAAAAGATAAAAACATAACAGTTTATGGCCTAGTGGAAATTACTTTCAATTTATGTTTCACAGGAAATTATACAAGAGTTTAAAGATCAGACTCTTTATGATGAGCTGGCTGATTATAAAGAAGGGAGAGACACATTATCATTGACCTCTACAACCTTGTGTTGTAAAATAACAACCTTGTACATCTGGCTGTAGGTCTATTTGCACGTGCAATTGCTGAGTTTAAGGTATATATATATTCATAGTTTTGCATGCAAATCGGAGTTGTTACATTGTTATGAATGAAATTTGCAATTTATGATGGAAATGTCTTTATCTATATAAAGGGAAATACAAAATTAAGCTGACCGGTGACAATTCAGAATATATATATATATATATATATATATATATATATATATATATATATATATATATATATAAATATATATATATATATATATATATATATATATATATAAATTGCAAGATAATGCAGTAATCAGTAGCATGTTTTCTTTTAGCTTAAGCTACTTTTTTAGGACATTTTGCACATTTGTTTCTTCTATATTTACATTGCTTTGCATGTTTTCTTGTGCAATGCCTTTTTATTTTGTTATTAACCATTTCTTGTTGCAAGCTATTAAATCAGCCATTTCAGATACTGATGGGGACATGTCCCCAGAGTCCCCAGTGTAGATGACACTGGATGCATTTGAATAAATTCTAGGCTATGCACTGGACCCTATTTGTTACATTGCGAATGTACAGTTACTTCATGGATAAAAGTATTATATAAGAACAACACTGAACCTGAGTCCCGGTATAACAGAGGGTTTATTCAGTTCCCCACTGCGCCACTAGCAGGCAGACGCACACAGTCTGAATGGTGGGCATGCTCAATACAAGCCTGAGCTGCAGCCGTGTTGTCTTTACTGTCCGCATCATTCAGCTGGCATTTTACGGGAATAATCTAGGATACAGTTAATGCATTCATTTTAACCCGAGACAGACCGCGACTTATTTCACCATTTGCACCCTGCTCTCCTTAAACCACGTTACCATCGTTTATACTCTACCCGGTGAGTGTGTGACTGTTATGCTTTAATCCACGTATCCATTCTCGATTGGAAACACAAACGTGTGTGCCAAATTGATTAATGGACTGACAGCTAGCCGCTCGCAATTTGCACAGAGTAGGCCTACTGATACAGATTTTAATGCGTTATTCTCCCCTGTAAGTGGCTCTAATGTATGTGAGGTTTTCTGTTATTCTTACGGATATTCTTGCGGTTTTCACTGCGCAACATTGAGTAAATTAGATTTTAGCCAGTCCTGCTGGTCTGCTCTCTGTTTCCAGCCCCTCTCTCCTCTTTAGATATGGCCATAGTGTTACAACATAAACTGTAAAATGAAATAGCCTAAATCAGTGTGTATCAAGTGATGCCCGCTACTCTGTGCCTATCCTACATAGATGCTTCTAGATATTCCAGTTTATTTGTTTATTATATTGAGTGTTTGCAAGGTGGAGATTTAATTGTGACTTCGTTTATATTTCTATTACTTTCTTTGGTTTTCAGTTTAACGGAGGATCAGCAAACATGTTCTACACCTGTGGTCCCAACGAGGCTATGGTGGTGTCAGGTAAAGTGTTTGGCCACATCAACTTTATTTTTACAAAATACAATTCCATAATCAAGAGTGTGTGATTGTTGTTGTTCATCAGTGGCCATCCTTTTTTAAGGCTGACATTCAAAGATTGTACATATTATTTCAAAACAATAACAGTAGAGGGTTGTTAAAATACTGTTCAAGCTACTTAACCAGTTTATGGTTGATTATCCAATTCTCTCCCAGGGTTTTGTCGTTCTCCTCCACTGATGATTGCTGGAGGCCGAGTGTTCGTCGTTCCCTGTATTCAGCAGATACAGAGGTAGGCATACGTGGAGTTATTTTATCTTCTGCTATCCACTGTGGTGTACTGATCTTTAGTTTTATTTCATGTTTTGGCTTTTGTTGGCATTTGGGAGACACTTTTAACTCATAGATGCACTGCAGAAAGCAAAAGGGACTGCAGCAGGATATTGATAAAAAGGTAATAAATCATTATAAAGTTGATTAACAATCTTGGCATTATACTGCCAGGATGACTGATGGACACAGATTCAAAAAAAGTGGCCATCATCAGCCTCCTCATCAAATAAAACATCTATATTATGTCCAATAATGTTATTTGTGCTGTACATAAACTGTTCCTTATCTCTCAAGGTCTATCTCCTTGTCATAATAAACATATTTAGTCTTCAAGCAGGCCAGTCTAGGAGCCATTTGGATGTTCCAGTGTACATGCTGCTCCTCCTACATTCAGTTCATCACATGGCACCAGACTTAATGTTTTGTTTGTCTGAGTATTATAGCTTAGCCTTGATCCTGCACCTGTAAAATCCTGCACTCAGTGCTTGCAACTCGATACGAGTACAAAATGACTTCGCTTTAATGTATTCCATTAGAGCCGTGAATAATCAGCTCTTTGCTTGATATGTCTTACCCTGCCTCTCTCCAGGATTTCCCTGAACACTCTGACTCTGAATGTGAAGAGCGATAAAGTCTACACCCGCCACGGGGTGCCCGTCTCTGTAACCGGGATAGCCCAGGTCAGTGTGCACTGCAGAGGAAACAGCAGGCTGCTCCACTGGTAAAGCAGGGGGAGGTGTAGACTAATGGACAAATAGTTTCTGTGAGTCATCAGAAAGAAAACAAGCGTCAGTTTCCATGTAAACACTGCTAAACTGTATAATATAGACGTAGCTGGAAGGTTTGTTCCCTCACATCTGTGTGTGTGTGTGTGTGACATTTACCAGAAGAGAGCGAGTTGACAGATAAATAAATGTGGCCTTTCTGCCCTTCACGTACCCTAGCAGGCATTTACTGTGAATTATTAGTATCATGCATTGGTGTGCATAAAAAACAGCTGCTGTTTTTGCTGTTATACATCAGACACACACGGGGAATGAACCCAGCGATCATGTGGAATGTTTCACAGAAGTCTTGCTAATAATAAACAAGTTGCTGTTTCCTGCAGATGAAGATCCAGGGTCAGAATAAACAGATGCTGGCTGCGGCCTGCCAAATGTTCATGGGGAAGTCAGAGGCTGAGATTGCTCACATCGCCTTGGAGACGCTGGAGGGACACCAGCGGGCCATCATCGCCCACCTGACTGTCGAGGTAAGGATCTAAAGGTAATTTGTTTCAGTGTTTGATTTCCTGGAGTAAATTCAGGGTTTAAAGCCCTAGGCAGTAATGAAACCATGCTGCCCTCAAACAGAGTCCCCATGCTGCTTGCCTTGTTTGTGACAGATTTACTCCATTACAAATATTGATTAATTCAGCGATCATTTATCAAAGGCGTAAAAAGGTTTGTGTTAAAGGTTTATGAATGGCACGTTGCTTCTTGACTGTCATGGGTTTGAGAGTGCCAGTCTCAGTACACCTCTTGCTTCCACGTCGCAGTAATTATCTTCCCTTTACAGGAGATCTACAAGGACCGAAAGAAGTTCTCAGAGCAGGTTTTTAAGGTGGCTTCCTCTGACCTGGTCAACATGGGCATCAGCGTGGTCAGCTACACACTCAAAGATGTCCACGACGATCAGGTATCCGCATATCTTCAAACAAGTATTTTTCAATTTGTAGTTTTATTACTTATACTTTTAGAATTTATGCTTGATTTAATGTGGCTTTAGTGGGTGGGAAAAGATGACTATCGTAATCCTAATATAACACCCAAAACAATCATACAGACTGTCGAGGTAAATATATAAAATAGAAGACATTTTCTGAATCTTGGATTAAATCTGTCTTGAATTTCTGGTACACAGGATTATCTGCATTCACTGGGGAAGGCTCGAACAGCCCAGGTACAGAAAGACGCTCGCATTGGAGAAGCCAAGAACAAGAGAGATGCTGTGATCAGGGTGAGATATAAATCTCGTTGTCTCCCTCCTCCAGGATGCTGTTATTCCTGTGAAGTCTCATTTCAACATAAAAACTCATTCTGAAGCAGGCAGAAAAAGGATTTATTGGAATTATGTTATTTATTTTGAGAAGCAGTAATAGTGCCTGCAGCATGTGATACAGGCCGTCTTGATGATCATCATGTTTTTAGAGTAGTCTTAGTCCGTTTTGCTTAGTCACAATGATGTTTGTATGTTTGTATTTTTAGCATCTTCTTCCTGTTTATCCTATTTTCAAGTTTTATTCCCATTGATCCCTATTTCCTCTTCCTCTCTCTCTGTTCTATGTCTCTCTCTCTCTGTTCTATGTCTCTCTCTCTCTCTCTGCAGGAAGCCCATGCAATGCAAGAGAAAGTCTCGGCTCAGTACAAGAATGAGATCGACATGGCAAAGGCCCAGAGGGACTATGAGCTGAAGAAGGCAGCCTACGACATTGAGGTCAACACTAAGAAGGCTGAGTCAGAGATGGCCTACCAGCTGCAGGTACACACAAGTGAATAATAACATTATTATTTGAACAGTGATGTTGTGGAGCTTGGTAGTGTAAAGTTTGAGCCAGAGTTTGTGCCTTACAAAGCA